AGCCGAAGGAGCTCCAGCTCCAGCAGTACGTCTCCAGCGGCGAGCAAACCACTCGCGCAGCTCCTGTGGAGAGAGGGGCTCCCGCCGAGGCGAAGCACCCGGAGAACCGCCAGGTCCCGCACCGCCAGACGCCACAAGGGGAGGTCCAGTGGCCGCAGGCTCCGTAGCTCCAGGCTCAGTAGCTCCAGACGCAGCACCCCCTGGCTCAGCACCCCCAGTCACAGCACCCCCAGGCTCAGCACCCCAAGACTCCGCACCCCCAGGCTCAGCACCCCCAGTCGCAGTAACCCCAGGCTCAGCACCCCCAGACTCAGCACCCCCAGGCTCAGCACCCCCAGGCTCAGCACCCACGCGCGTAGCACCCCCAGAGTCAGCACCCCCAGGCTCAGCACCCGCAGCAGGACCAGAGTCACCAGCAACCTCGACCGGCTCGACTGCGTCTACCTGGGACACACCTGAAGGGGCAGGACCCTGAGGGGGAAGGGGGTCTACCGGGGGGGGACCTGGCACAAGGAAGTGCGGTGGCGGGGGGAGGGAAGGAGTGCGGTAGGGGAAGAGGCGGTAGAAGGGGACTGACTCGTCGAACGTGACGTCCTGGGAGGACAGAACACGACGAGAGGAGGGGTGGTAGAACTGCCACCCTGGGGCGTCAGGGGGGAAGCCGAGGAAGACACAGGGAGCAGCACGAGGGGACAGCTTGTCCGCAGACAAGTCGCGGACAAACGCCCGAGATCCCCAGACACGGAACGCAGACGCATCGCCGACCTTCCCCGTCCACAGCAGAGCTGGGGAGGTCTCCGGCCGGGAGACCCTGGGGTGAAGGTTGATCTGATGCGCCGCGTACCGAACCGCAAACGGCCACAGAAAATGGGGGGCAGCCGCATGCATCATGGACGTACGAGCGACGTCCATGACCATGCCAATGCGGCGCTCAGCAATCCCATTTTGCTGTGGAGAGTCCGGAAGCGTAAAGGTCTGGCGGATGCCTCGTGCACGACAGTAGGCTCGCAGAAGGCCAGAGGAGAACTCTCCACCTCGATCAGAGTGCAGACGCAGAACAGGAAAGTCCGAGCCGAAGCTCCTCCTGAGCTGGAGACGAGCTGCGCGGATCCAGTCGATCAACACCTCAGTGACATCACCCTTGCTGCGCAAGGGGAAGACTGTGGTGTAACGCGAGTAGTCGTCAACCACCAGCAGGAAGTAGCGCTCGTGACCCTGCCCACGGACGCGGGCCGGGCCCCACACGTCCATGTGAAGCGTCTGCAGAGGAGCCTCTGTCGGGGGAAACTGGGAGGAGTGAGGGGCAGCCCGGAGCCGCCCCTCGACACAGGGGACACAGGAAGGTCCGGGTCCCGAAGGAAGGGGAGGGAGAGACCGGGGAAGACCAGAGACAAGGACACGGGAAGCCATGCCCCGAAGACGAGGCAAGGAGGGGTGGCCAAGACGGTGGTGCCACAGGAGAGTCTCATGAGACAGGCGGCGACACGAGCAGGGGGCAGACTCAGGACCAGACCTGGACGCTGCAGCAAACACCTGACCCGACGCAGCTACCTGGCCAGACGCAGGGACAGGAGGAGACTCAATGGTCAGGGTGTAGAGACTCGACCCCGGCCGACGCGAAAACGTGGCCAGGTGTCGGCCTGTGCGGGCGTCCGAGCAGTGGGTCACCCGCTGACTCGCAGGAGTAAACTGGTGAACCCCCGCATCCTGCAGGTCAGCACCACTCACCAAGTTCGTCGATAACGAGGGGAGGTACAGACCAGACAAGGTGCCCGAGGGGGCAGCCGGACACGGGAGGACAGTGGAGAAGTGAGAGAGGACAGGACCCCCAGAGGGGTCAGCCAGGGAGACTGCAACCGGCCGGCCAAGCGGCGTGAGTGTGGTGCGGTCTCGAAAGAAGGAGCGAGAAGCTCCTGAGTCAAGCGTGAAGGTGAGGGAGGCCGAAGCCGACGCAGTACCTGAGAGCGCAGCCTCACCAGTACCTGAGAGTGCAGACGCACTGGCACCTAGAGCAGCAGCCGCAGAAGTACCTGGCGCAGCAGTACCAATGCCCGGGTCGGGCGGGAAACACCGGTAACAGTCACCCTCCTCACTAATAGTCACAGCATACATGGCAGCAAGGATAGCATCAAAGTCAAGATCAAAGATAGCTACGCCAGCCCTAGACAGCTCTCCCCAACGGGGAATCTCACTAGCCTCGGGGAACTGCTGACGCCAAGCGTCCGTCAGGCGGCCAAAGCAGCGCTGGGTGGGGTGGGCACCCCCACACTGCTCACCCGCGCGGTCGCCGGAACGAAGGACGTAGGTGCACGGACCAAAACCCCCACCCCGCTGACGCTGCGTGTACCACTCACGGAGCTGCTGGGGCGGGGGGATGTCCCGCGAACGCTGCTGCTGCTGCTGCTGCTGCTGCTGCTGCTGCTGACGCTGGCCACCACCAGAGCCGCTACGCTGCGGGGCACCACCCCGACCAGCGCCACCCCCTCCGCCACCGCCGCCTCCACCTCCACCACCACCGCTGCCTCCGCTCCCACCGCTGCCGCCACCACCGCCTCCTCCTCCGCTGCTGCCACCGCCACCACCGCCCCCGCCACCACCCCCACCGCCACCCCCACTCCCTCCGCCGCCTCCACCGCCACCTCCACCGCCCCCGCCAGTTCCACCCGCGCCCTTGCCCCCCTTGCCCCTGCCAGGGCGGCGTCTCCCGCTAGGGGCAGACGCCGCGCAGACCGACTCAAGACCAAGCAGGTCGGCAGCAGCAGCAGAGGCAACAGAGGGCAGCAGGGGGGAAGGAGAACACCCCTCAAAGATGGGGGTGCGAGGGTCACCACGAGAGGCTCCTACAGCGACGATGCTCTTCTCCGCCGCCAGGAGGGACTTCTCGAGGAGGTCGACAGTGAGAGTGGTGGGACAGACTGAGAGGAAGTGGTCCCTGACTACGCGAAGGGAGTCAGGGAGGCGTGTGACTATGTAATAGAGAGTGATGTACATGGGGGGGGGGTTCTTGGCGCAGAACTCGGCAGGAAGGGCGGCGCGGTAGCGAGTGTCACTAGTGCGGAGGTGCGTAATGAGGTCAGCGACAGTGGGAAAGGCAGCAAGGTCAGGAAAGAGGTACGGTAGCATGAGGCGGCTCAGGGCAGCAGTGGCAGGGGAAGAGTAGCGCGCAACTACAGCGTCGTACAAGGTCTGAGCACTCTTGTACTGACTAAAGTGCGCGCGCTCAGTGGTAGGCAGGTGACGACGCACAGCAAGACGTGCAGCAGCATCGCGGGTGGCCCACTGAGAGCGAACAGTGGGGTCAGCATCAGCAGCAGGGGCAGGAGAGGCGCCAGAGGTGAGGTCAAAGAGGGAAAGACCGTCCGTCCTATCGCACTGTAAGAACAGCTGCAGGTCGTCGACCCAGACCTCAAAGTCAATGGCTCGACCCTCAGCGTCAAAAGCGAGGACACTAGGGGTAGCCATGACGACGACAGTGTAGTAGTGCAAGCAGTAGGGGAAGGGCACGCAGTAACAGTGGTGCTGTGCTCACCAGGCAGGGCAGGTCGGGCGGCTCGGTAGTAGGGCGGCTCGGCAGCTGGGCGGCTCGGCGGCTCGGCTGCTGGGCGGCTCGGCTCCCGGGCGGCTCGGCGGCAGGGCGGCTCGGCGGCAGGGCGGCTCGGCGGCTCGGCTCCCGGGCGGCTCGGCGGCAGGGCGGCTCGGCTCCCGGGCGGCTCGGCTGCAGGGCGGCTCGACGGCTGGGCGGCTCGGCGGCTGGGCGGTCGGCTGCACGGCGGCTCGGCTGGTGGGCGGCCGGGCGGCTCGGCTGCAGCGCGGCTCGGCGGCGGGGCGGCTCGGCTGCTCTGCTGCTGGGCGGCTCGGCTGCGCTGCTGCTGGGCGGCTTGGCCGCTGTAGAGGAGCGGCGGGGCCGCTGCAGAAGGGCGGCGGGGCCGCTGGGTAGGGCGGCGGGGCCGCGAGATAGGGCAGCGGGGCCGCGTGGTAGAGTGGCGGGGGCCGCGCGATGAGGCAGCGGGGCCGCGAGGAAGGGCGGCGGGGCCGCGCGATGGGGCGGCGGGGCCGAGAGGAAGGGCGGCGGGGCCGCTAGGTAGGGCGGCGGGGCCGCGCGATGGGGCGGCGGGGCCGCGAGGAAGGGCGGCGGGGCCGCTAGTTAGGGCGGCGGGGCCTCACGATGGGGCGGCGAGGCCGCGAGGTAGGGCGGCGGGGCCGCGCAATGGGGCGGCGAGGCCGCGAGTAAGGGCGGCGGGGCCGCTAGGTAGGGCGGCGGGGCCGCGCAATAGGGCGGCGAGGCCGCGAGGTAGGGCGGCGGGGCCGCTAGGTAGGGCGGCGGGGCCGCTAGGAGAGAGGCGGCGGGGCCGCGATTAAGGGCCGCTAGGGCGGCTCGACGAAGTGAGGGCCCGGAGCGCGACTCGGGCTGAGCGCGCTTCGGGCAGGAAAAAAAAACGATGTGGTGGGCCCTAAGCACAGTTCCCAAGGGGGAACCTGCTCGATACCATGAGAAGATTTGAACAAGAATGAATGAACTATGAATGAAGTGAGTACATATAGGAAACCATAATTGGGTTGTACCCCCTATGGGATACCCCACTATAGCCTACACAACTGCATAAGCTATATATATGTTCTGACAGAGTCGACTCAGAAGTCACCTCCTTCCCATGCAGATGATGACGCCGGACATGATTCGTCTAGTTTGAGTCGACTCAGAAGTCACCTCCTTCCCATGCAGATGATGACGCTGGACATGATTCGTCTAGCTTTTGAGTCGACTCAGAAGTCACCTCCTTCCCATGCAGATGATGACGCCGGACATGATTCGTCTAGCTTTTGAGTCGACTCAGAAGTCACCTCCTTCCCATGCAGATGATGACGCCGGACATGATTCGTCTGGCCACAGAGCAGATGAGTCGCATGTTTCGCTCTTCGCAAACCTCTCAGTTTCAACCACCCCTCTCCCCCCCACCCTTCCCCCCCCGCCCCCCTCTCCCCCTCCTCGGTGCCTTCCCATGCAGATGATGACCCCAGACATGATTCGGCTGGCCACAGAGCAGATGGGGCGCATGTCACCGGAGGAGTTTGTTTTTGAGGCGCCTTACATATAGTCCCGCCCCCCCCTTCCATGCGCCCCCTCCCCTCCTCCATGCGCCCCCTCCCCTCCTCCATGCGCCCCCTCCCCTCCATGTGCCCTCACTTCTCTGCAGATGATGACCCCAGACATGATTCGGCTGGCCACGGAGTAGATGGGGCGCATGACACCATCTTCACATCCTCTCACTTCCAACCCAATCTCGGACTCTTCCCTCCACCCCTCCCTCCACCCATCCCTCCCCTCCCATGCAGATGATGACCCCGGACATGATTCGGCTGGCAACGGAGCAGATGGGGCGCATGACACCGGAGGACATGCGGCGGGCAGCGGAGCAGATGAAGCGCCTCAGCCCGCACCAGATCGCCTCCGCCATGGGCAGTGCCGGTGCAGGCGGCGGGTGGGGTTGGCGCTGCGGCTGCTGCTGGGGGGATTTCAGGAGCACTTGGGTGAAGCAACCCTTTTCACTCCTTCGTCCCCCTCCTCCCCCCCTCCTCCCCCCCTCCTCCCCCCGCCCTCCACCACCTCCCTCGCTCCCTCCCTCCTTCCCTCCCTCCTCCATGGCCAGATGATGGCACCAGACATGATTCGGCTGGCAACGGAGCAGATGGGGCGCATGACACCGGAGGACATGCGGCGGGCAGCGGAGCAGATGAAGCACTTCAGCCCGCACCAGATCGCCTCCGCCATGGGCACTGCCGGTGCTGCTGGGGGGATCCCAGGGGCAGCAGCGGGAGGAGGGGGAGTGGGAGGAGGTGCAGCAGGGGGGTTGCCGGATGTGGCATCGTATATGAGCCAGCGGCAGCAGTATGAGCTAAATGCTGCAACGATGCTCAAGAATGAGGTTAGTGGTTGTGGAATTTTCACTGGTCCTTTTTGGGTGCCCTGAAAAGAACCAGCAGGAGGATGGGAAAGGGGAGAGCTTCCCCTTGTAGCAGCAGCAGCAGCAGCAGCAGCAGGGTGGTTGCCTCTTTTTTGAGGCGCCTCAAAAACGACCTGTAGCAGCAGCAGCAGCATCAGCAGGGTGGTTGCCTCTTTTTTGAGGCGCCTCAAAAACGACCTGTAGCAGCAGCAGCAGCAGCAGCATGGCGGTTGCCTCGTATGTGAGCCGGGGTTTAGCCTACAGCCCCTAGCCCGGACACTCTTTCCATCTCCCTTTCTCTCCCTCCCACATGTGTGTGTACGTGCAGGGCAACAAGCTGCATGGGATGGGAAAGTACTCAGAAGCTGCAGAGAAGTATAACAGGGTATGTGTGTGAGTGGCACGGCGAGAGGGGGGGTACGGGGAGGACTTTGGAAGTGTGTCCAGGGAAGTGCAACAGGGAAATGCAACAGAATACGTGTGTGTGTCGTCGCATGGAGAGAGTGCTGGAAGGGAAGTACCAGGAAGGAAGGTATGTGCATCTTTCAATGAACTAAGGGGTTGAGAGGGATGCAGAGGGATGGCAATCCGGTTCAGAGGCATCGCAATGCACTCATCTCCAGCAGCAATGTGTGCGGTCAACCTCATCACCTGCCACCCAACACCACCTCCTGTCCCCTTGATGGCCCACTCTACCCGTGCTCTCTGCTTGCTCTCCCTTACTCTCTCCTTCTCTCCCCTTCACTCCTCCTCAGGCACGGGGCAATCTAGCCATGCATTCGTCCCCAGCAGCGGTGTCCCTGCGGCGCACGTGTGCAGTCAACCTTATGTCCTGTCACCTCAAGACCAACGCCTTTGCCCATGCTGTCTCTGTTGGCACTCAGGTGAGCCTTTGTTGGCTCTCAGGTGGTTCTGTTTTGGCTCTCAGGTGGTTCTCTGTTGGCTCTCAGGTGGTTCTTTGTTGTCTCTTAGGTGGGCTTTCCAATGAGACAAACCAGTGTTGTTCTCGTCACTGCAGTTGGATTGCGCATGGTAATCTGCTCTGCACAATTTTTCTCCGATTCAACTTTGTACACCACCCGTTTGTCTTTTTCCATGACTATTTACCCAGGTGATTTCCGAAGATGGGTCTAACCTCAAGGCGCTGTACAGACGAGGACTGGCTTACAAGGAGCTTGGGCAGTTGAAAGTAAGTTCGGGGTTCTGAATACAGGGAGCGAAGTAAGTGCCCGGTTTAGAATACAGGAAGAGTAGAACGAAGGCACGAACTGCTCAGAAATTGCGTCCCTTCAGTTGAGATGCTGCAAGTACGATGGTTGGATTTTATCAGTTTCGAAACGCTTTGTTAGCGTCCTTCTGTGCAGGAGGCAGTAGTAGCAGATCTATCCTTAGCAGCACGGATCTCACTGGATGGTGCCTGAGGTGTTATTGAGTTTAGACATGTAACATTACTTGTTGAATTGCTGCTGCCTCCCTTTGCCATCCACCCGTCCTTTCTTCTGTGCAGGAGGCAGCAGCAGACCTGTCCAAAGCAGCAGAGATCTCACCGGATGATGAAACGCTGGCAGGGGTACTCAGGTGGGGTGCAGGCACTCACAGAGCAATCCCTGTTTCCTGATTGGCATCCGTATCAAGCACGCAAGCAAGCATGCACTGGGAAAGAGGTGGGGGGGTGTGAGGTCACAAGGGGGGAAGAGCGTTAAGAGAGATGTCCGCTGTGTCGCTTATTAGATTCTCTCTTTCTTTCTCCATTCACCGTTTTCTCTCTCCCCCGCCCAATCCGCTGTGTCGCTTATTAGATTTTCTCTTTCTTCCTCCCCTTCTGTTTACGTCCCTTCCTATGTATTCATATGCATTCAGAGAAACCAAAGCAGCACTGGAAGCTACAAAGAAGAAAGGTATGCTGGTTGATAGTGCAGATAGTGTGATGTATATATATTTGAACAGTGCACTTGTTTCCCTCTCACCTGATTTCACCCCTCTCCCGTTAAGATTTCTCTTTCTTGAATCAATTTCCCAATTTCCCTCCCTTCCCGCTCCCCACCTTCTTCCTTCCTCTCATTCTCAATTCCCACATCCTGTGCTTTTCTTTCCCCCTCCTGCTTGCGTGCCCATCCTTCCCTTGCCTGCTGCAGTTTCTCTGGTGGACATCGATGAGGGTGACGATGCTCCTGCTCCATCCTCTGCTGCTCGGACTCCCTCCCCACACCCTGCTGCTTTCTTTCTCCCGCCTTCTTGCCCCCCCGCCCATCCTTCCCTTGCCTGCTGCAGTTTCTCTGGAGGACATCGATGAGGGCGACGATGCTCCTGCTCCCTCCCTGGCTGCCTCCCCTGCTGCCTCTCCTGCTGCTCGGCCCACACCCTGCCTCTTGCGTGCCCATCCTTCCCTTGCCTGCTGCAGTTTCTCTGGAGGACATCGATGAGGGTGACGATGCTCCTGCTGCCTCCGCTGCTGCTCGGTCTCCCTCCCGACACGCTGCTGCTCGGCCCACACCCTGCTCCTTCTTTTCTCCCGCCTTCTTGCCCCCCCGCCCATCCTTCCCTTGCCTGCTGCAGTTTCTCTGGAGGACATCGATGAGGGTGACGATGCTCCTGCCCCATCCTCTGCTGTCTCCTCTGCTTCTGGAGCGGTAATTTCACCATCAGTGGCAGAAGCACAACCAGCAGCAGCGGCAGCAGCAGCAGTGGGAAGCAATCCGCTGTTCATCCCTCCCTCGGTGCCCACCATGTCTCCTGATCTCTCCGCCACCGACCCTGCTCTCGTGCGGTGAGTTGCAAACCCTCATGCCTTGTCATGCTAACAGCAGCATCAGTGGCACCAGCACAGCCAGCAGTGCCAGCAGCAGCAGGAGCAGCAGCAGCAGCAGTGGGTGACAATCCGCTGTTCATCCCTCCCTCGGTGCCCACCATGTCTCCTGATCTCTCCGCCACCGACCCTGCTCTCGTGCGGTGAGTTGCAAACCCTCATGCCTTGTCATGCTAACAGCAGCATCAGTGGCACCAGCACAGCCAGCAGTGCCAGCAGCAGCAGGAGCAGCAGCAGCAGCAGTGGGTGACAATCCGCTGTTCATCCCTCCCTCGGTGCCCACCATGTCTCCTGATCTCTCCGCCACCGACCCTGCTCTCGTGCGGTGAGTGGTGTGAATTTTGATGCCTTGCCATGCCAGCAGCAGCATCACAACCAGCAGCGGCGGCGGCAGCAGTGGGAAGCAATCCGCTGTTCATCCCTCCCTCGGTACCCACCATGTCTCCCGACCTCTCTGCCACCGACCCTGCTCTCGTGCGGTGAGTGGTGAATTGTCATGATGCCTTGCCATGCCATCAGCAGTATCAGTGGCAGAAGCACAGCCAGCAACATGCAGGCGATGATGACGAGCATGGATCCAGCAGCGGTGGCGGCGCTGAGTGGCTGTACTAACAGGCAACCCCAAGAAGCAACCCTGAGTGACACTCCCTTCTGTTGGGCTTACACAAACTCCCTGCCCCTCTCCTTCTACTCCCCCCAGCAACATGCAGGCAATGATGACGAGCATGGATCCAGCAGCAGTGGCGGCGCTGAGTGGCGGCGCCCTATCCCCCGAAATGGCCCGCACTGCAGCGCAGCTCGTCGGCTCCATGTCCCCGGAAGACCTCCAAAAGATGATGCGCCTTGCTTCGACCTTTAGCCAAGCGGGGGTAGGGGTTGCTGGGGGGACGGGGAGCGGGGGAGTAGGGGGAACGGGGGGACCAGGGGGCGCAGGGGGAACTGGGGGAGTGGGGGCAGGAAGATCTGCTGGTGGTGCTGGGAGCGGCGGCGGCGGCAGTGGCAGCAGAGGGAGCGGCAGTGATGATTCCGATCCTGTATTGACTCCCACAACGGGGAGCGCAAGCAGCAGAAGCACAGCTAATGCCGCTGCTACTGCTGCTGCTCCTGCTGTTACAGAGACCACGTATGGCATGCCTCCAGGATTTGGGAGAGAAGCTGAGGCAGCAGGGGGGGCAGCAGGACGGGGGGGGTTCAGTGGAGGAGGGGTGGGAGCGGCTGGGATGCCGGCGCCAGGTGTCGGCGGGGGATTGGACCCGATGCAGCTACAGGAAAGGCTGCTGAACGACCCTTCTACTGTGAAGGTAAGGCCAATTTCTGGGGCGCCTTAAAAAAAAAAAGACTTGTGGGTAGAGAGACAACTTCTGAGGCGCCTCAAAAGAACGGCTGTTGAACGACCCTTTGACTGTGGAGGTAAGGCCAAATCTTGGGGCGCCTCAGAAATAAAAACTGTGGGTAGAGAGACGACTTATGAGACGCCTCAAAAGAGCAGCGCTTGAGTGACCCGTCCACTGTGAAGGTAAGGCCAACAGCTGCGGCAGGGTGCAGAGGACACTACAGCTATGAGCTCGCGCATGGGGCAACTCGTTATAACCCCTTCCGCCTCCATTCTCACTGTCCCTCCTGCCCTTGTGTAACCTCACCCCACAACCCCCCCCCCCCTCCCCAGCTGATGAGCGACATGATGCAGCAGCTGAGCGCAGAGGACATTGCAGCCATGAGCTCTCGCATGGGGCAGAGCATGTCAATGAGAGCAGGCAGAGTAGATGTGTGCATGAATCTTCTGCCCCACCCCACCCCGACCCACCTTACCCCAACCCACTGCTCCCCACCTTATCCCACCTTACCCCACCGCACCACACTCTACTGCACCCCACCCAATCCCTTTCCAGCTCATGAGCGACATGATGCAGCAGCTGAGTGCAGAGGACATCGCAGCCATGAGCTCTCGCATGGGGCAGAGCATGTCGGTGGAGCAGGCAGAGCAGGCCAAGCGCATGATGCAGGGGCTGGGACCGGAGAGGCTGGCGACGGTGGTAAGTGGTGGCAAAGGATTGGAAATCGGTTTGTGTGTGTCTGACTTTAGATATATAGGATGTGTGCATGGGGCAGAACATGTGGGTCGAGTGGAGCAGATGGAGCAGGCAGAGCAGGCCAAGCGCATGATGCAGGGGCTGGGACCGGAGAGGCTGGCGACGGTGGTAAGATGGGGGGTTTGGTTGCTTTGTGTGGCACTGAATCGGGAGTGTATGGTGCAGAGTGTGTGGGTAGAGGCAGAGCATGTGGGTGGAGCAGGCAGAGCAGGCCAAGCAGATGATGCAGGGTCTGGGGCCTGAGAGGCTGCCACTGTGGTGAGAGGGAAGGCTGACCTGTAAGTGGCAATGGATAGGGAGTGCATGTGGCAGAATAGATTTGTTTTTTGTTTTGTTTTGATTTTTTATTTATTTATTCTAGAGAGACGGGGGGTTGGGCCATGTGTGGCAATGGATAGGGAGTGCATGTGGCAGAGTAGAGCATGTGGGTGGGGTGGAGCAGGGGAAGCTGGATTGACTCTGTCTCGCATGTGACTGACTGACACATACAAGCTTTTACAGTGGGACGTGATGTGAGCTTCACTCGATTATTGTTACTCTCGCCTACCTGGCCAACCCCGCCAACCCCTCTCCCCTTCTTTGTCGCATTTGCAGATGAAGTTCGCCCAGAAGGCACAAACAGCTGCAGCAAGGTTTCAGGAGGCGGTGCGCTGGCTGCTGCAACGGCCAGTGCTTCTGGCCTCCATCATTATCCTCGTTATTGCGGTCTTCATTCATTACATGGGCTGGTTTTCCTGATTTAGGGGAAATTTTGTTTCGTATGATGCATGAACATTGTATCAGGTGACAGAAAGTCAAACACCTGAAATGCTAATTTTATATAACCCAACAAGAAGTACGTATTGTTGATCCAGCGCAAATTGGGAAGTCTACAAGCGAGGAATTCCAAGCGTATCGCGTGAGACAAGCTGCTACATTGCTGGGCGACTTTCTTTCGCGAATTCCCCTTGGAAGAAAAACTCAAGTCGCGAACATCACCATCACCGTCGCTGTCACCGTCAACCGCGGCGATCTCGTCCCTCCATGGCCGCCAGCAAGCCTCTGCGAAGCGCGGCACGATCGAGGTGGCCTTGGCCGCGGATCGCGGGAGCTGCGATCCTTGCCGGTGCGACGCTCGGCGTTACTTACAGCGTCGCAGACGATGCTCTGCTCTTCTACCGATGCAGCAGGTAGCCGTTAGATCGGCTCTTATGTCATCTTAGCCGTTGGATCGTCTATTACATCCTCTTAGCCGCTGGTTTTTCGATCATGTCCGCTTAACCGTAGGATCATCAGGCACCCTTTTAGCCGTTATGTTCGTCGATCATGCTCTCGTCTTACCGTTAGGGTAACCGTTAGGATCTCCATAATCGTTTTTAACGTTAGGGTAGTCGATCGTGTCCTCTTATCCGTGGAATCGCCCGCTATCCTTCTCAGCCTTTGGATCGGCAACTTCTTATCATCAAGTCCTCGTTTGTTACGCTTTAAAAGTCCACGTTACCACGCCTTCACCTTGTGTGTGCGTCTTCGTCGCTGCTAGTACAGTGAAGCATTGGAGGTCGCGAACCGAAACGAGCAGCTGTTGTTCAAGACAGCGATTGAATCACTCTTACCGTAAAAGGGGTAGAAAGCCTAAATTAATTATTATACTACCGCTGTCCTGTGCGTCCTGTCGTTGTCAGGACAGTGAGGCATTGGAGGTGGCGAGTCGGAACGAGCAGCTAAAGGCGGCGATCGGATCGCCGATAACGCGAGGCCCTTGGTACAGCGCCACTATCGGTACTTCTCATGGCGGACGCGCAGCTTCCGCGACGTTCCCTGTGGAGGGGCCGCAGGGCTCAGCGCTGTTTCACCTTCGCGCGATCAGGACGCACGGTCAGTCAGTCAGTCGTTGTCAGTCAGTCGATCAGTCAGTCGGTCGGTCAGTCTTTCTGACAGTCAGTCGTTTCGTCACACTCACTCTTTCAATCAGTGAGTTGGTCAAACAGTCACTCAGTCAGTCATTTAAGTCAGTCATATTTCCGGTCCGTCCATCAGTCAGTTACTTCATCGGTCGGACGGTCGGTCAGCGGGTCTATTCGTTGGTCAGTCAGTCAGTCGATCTGACTCTGTCAATCCCTCCGTCCGTCCTCATTCCATCCCTCCTCCCATCCCTCTCTCCATCCCTCACTTAATCCTCCAACCCATTTCTCACTTCATCCCTCCCTTCATTTCTCCTCTTTCCCATCTAATGGCATATCAACGACCTTGCAGGCGGCAGGAGCACCCTCCTTTACAACCTCCAATCAGACGCGAAGTGGCAGCTGTTCGTGCTCCAGGCCACTATTGCCCCCAGAATAGCGTTGGGAGCTGATACTGCCGCTACTGCCACTACTGCAGCTACTGCTGCTGCTGCTGCTGCTGCTGCTGGGGACTTGAAAGCAAAAGCGTCTGCGGTCACCGTGCCAGCTGCAGCAGCAGCAGCACAAGGAACAGCACCATCAGGAGAAAATGCATTGCGAGCTGAAGCAGCAAGACCAGCACAAGCAGCAGTGCCAGGAGCATCACCAGCATCAGCAGCAGCGCCGACAGCAACAGTATCAGCAGTGCCTCAGTCTTTCCGCCTTGACCTTCTATACGGCCCTAGTGGTCCATCTGTGGTGAAAGCTGCTGCAGCGGAGAGTCAAGAGGGAGAGTGCCTGCCTTGCCAAGCACGCACACAGTCCCCAAAAGACGCGAGCTAACAGCACCACCACTACGAGTAGCAGAAGCAGCAGCAGCAGCAGCAGCCGCAGCACTACGAGCAGCAGCAGCAGCAGCAGCAATGCTCAGTCCTTCCGCATTGACCTACTAGTGGTCCACCTGTAGTGAAGGCTGTCGCAGCGGAGTGCCACAAAGGAGAGTAAAAGCAAAGCTAGAAGGTAGCTTAGGGGAAAATATGCACAGCTAAGCCATGCACAGGAGCAGGCAGGGAAGCAGGCAGGGAGGCTGAGAGAAAATGTTTGCGAACAGTTACCATAAATTCAGTGACGTGGTGGTTAGCAATGTCATGTATATTACAGTACTAAGTATTATGCTTAACACGTACGGTACCTGTCTCAGCGTGCATTATATTTGTATTGTAAGCATCTTGAAAATTAGTCTGATACCGTATCAGAGTTCGTTGAGACTTTTTTTTTTGTACCTAGTCTGAAGCAGGCCCTCAGATTCACTTTTAGGGTCGTCAACCCATCAGGGCCCCCTTGTGTGTAAACTCTGATTGACAGTGTTCCAAAATAAAAAGCCTGAAATGGCAGTGCTGTGTTTGTAAAAAGCCTGATGCATCAGTGTAGCACTAGTAAAAAGGCTGTCACTAACGCGTCGCATGTGATGGCAACGGGGCAGGATCCTTGGCAGCCCTCCAGCACCACATGGTGGCCACGCTCGGATTGGCCAAGACTGACTGCTGCAACGAAACGGCCCAATGGTGTGAGGCGCCGCGCCAACAAAATACCTCTGAACGTGAACCAGAGGCAGAATTTCACAGGTTGGCCTCGCCACGGGGTGCTTACACCTCGGGAATCTGAGATTCTCTGTAATTGCGGTCAAATCCACATGGCACGGGTAAGAATCGCTTCAGTGTTGGTTTCGTTACAACGTTGTCGCATCAGTGTCCTAGGGGGAAAAAGTCTGAAATTTCAGTGTGGCCTAACAAAAAAAGTCTGAAATTTCAGTCCCTCAAAAATCTCAACACCGACTTTTCAGGGTAGGTAAAAAAAGGACTGCCAAAATCAGGAATTTCAGGGTTTTTTTTCCTGATATCTGAGGCCCTGGTCTGAAGTCGAAGTTTTTCTTTATGTACCTTGTCTGATTTTCCGAGTTCTTTTTTATGTATTGGCTGAAATTTCAGCCTAATTTTATGAGTGTAGGCTGAGCCCTCAGCCTTGTATCGAAGGTGCACTCTGAAACCGGTAATACAGGAGTTTCCGCCAGCCTAGCGACGTGTAGCACTGACACCGTCAATCCCAGGCGGGAAACCAAAATTTCCCGAGCGCGGCACCGCACAGTCGCGTTGGTACAGGAATGTTGTAATCAGGTTCAATTCTGTCAGAATTACTTTATTATAACTGCATGTAGATCTAGCAGTAGTGTAGTTATCACATTTTCCTGTTTGGTGGTTTACCCCCTTTCCTCCCCTACCGTATTTGTACCTTTGACTCTATGGTGAAAATCTCTTCCTTTCTCGACATCCTCCTCTCTTGTCACCTTCCTAGGTTCCTAACTGTCAGAATTACTTTATTATAACTGCATGTAGATCTAGCAGTAGTGTAGTTATCACATTTTCCTGTTTGGTGGTTTACCCCCTTTCCTCCCCTATTTGTACCTTTGACTCTATAGTGAAAACCTCTTCCTTTTTCGACATCCTCCTCTCTTGTCACCGTCCTAGGTTCCTAACCTAGTCTACTTTTTGGCACTAACCTAGTCTACTTTCTGACATGGTATCAGAGCTGTAAGATCCTAAGACCAATTTTTTTAGGATCATGGGCCCACCCGTCGCGCAGCCCGTAATGCGCCCCGCGGGTCCCCCGAATCGCCCCATGGACGACCCCCGCGGGTCCCGCGTTTCGCTCTCTGCAGGCCCCCCCGTTTCGCGCTCCGAAGGCCTGCTCGTCGCGCCCGTTGCGCCCTCCCCGTCGCGCCCGTCCGCCCTGTCCGTCCGTCGCGCCCTGCGCGCCTTTCCCATCCGTTGCGCCCCCGCTGCGCGCCGTCCCGTCCCTTCACGCGTCGCCTGCCCCGCCCCGTTCCGTCACGACCGCAACAGCAGCAGCGCGCGCAGCTGCGTACAACCGTGCGCACCCGCGCACGGTCGTGTGCGTCAGCGCCAGCGCCAGCGCCAGACGCCGCCGCCAGCGCCAGCGCCCATGCCGCCCCCCCCCCCCCCCCCCCACCCGCCCTCTCCTTCCCTCTTCCTCTCTCCCTGTAGCACATGGTGCTGTAGGGGGGGGGGGGGGGGGGGGGGGGGGGGGAGAGCGGTTCAGGGGGGATGAGAGAGGTTAATGGAGGGTAAGAGAGAGCGGCGGAAACAGCAGCCATGCGTCTGCAGCTGCCGCCCGCTGCTACCGTGGCACCTACAGCTGCAGCCCCTGACGCCACTCTCTCTTCGTTCGTCTTTCTTTGCTGTTGAGCTGCAGGCGTTGCCGTTGAGCCCTGCGTTGCCGCCACCCTTTCTAGCCGCACGCACCTGCTCTCCAGGCTACCTGCGCCACATGCACCTTCTCTTTGTTTCTTTCTTGCCTCAGGGCTTACTGCAACTGTCTCTGCCACTACTGCACTGGTTGTCATTGCTCTTGCGTGCTGTTGCTTTGAGTACACCTGCAGGTTGTGATTTGCACTTTGCTATTCCTACATGCAGTTATGGGGGGATGTCAGAATTACTTTATTATAACTGCATGTAGATCTAGCAGTAGTGTAGTTATCACATTTTCCTGTTTGGTGGTTTACCCCTTTTCCTCCCCTATTTGTACCTTTGACTCTATAGTGAAAACCTCTTCCTTTCTCGACATCCTCCTCTCTTGTCACCTTCCTAGGTTCCTAACCTAGTATACTTTCTGACAAATTCCAACCTAGAGTAGATTGTTTGCTCATTAATCTATAAAAGAGATCAGCCTAAAATTTGTGTGTAACGCTGAACGTTCAGCCTAAAAAACATAGTGTGGTCTGAATTTTCAGCCTGAAAATTGGAGGCAACTCTGACTGACAGAGTTCAGAGAAGGGTGCCTGCTGATTGATCAGCGTGTCCCAAAACGAATCTACGGGCCTGCTTGAAAATTAGGTACGACCGCACTGCAACACCAAACAGATTGCTTGCTTCGTGACTAACCAGGACATTCAGTCTGTCCATCTACAGTGTCACTGTCAAAATCGAATCACCACTCCCCATTATTTACAGAGACATACCCATTATACAAGCGTCCATTAGTGTTCTTAAGCTCGTTGATCATCCTGTTCCAATTCGACGCCAGGACACCAACAAAAAAGTCGCACTCAGAAGCAATAATAAGATTCGCGAAGCTGATCCCCACTGTACGCGCCAGGCCAAACTTTTCAGTGTACTCGGACATTCTCGTTCCAGCTCCTTGTCGCGGAAGCTTGGAGTAGAAAAAAGTCCAGTCTGTGAATCGGCTCGACTGATCCACAACACTCTGTAGAACATGGAAAGAAAGAAATAAATAGAAATTGATACTCTCCCCCCTCTCTCTCACCTGCATGTCAGTGCTAAGCCACATGTATGGCGTGTCAGGGTCAATCAATACCCTCTGTGCATGGGCCGCATGAGTGCATTTACCTTATATACAAACTATTCATGCCCGCTCTCACCTGCATCTCAGTGCTAAGCCACACGCATCGCACAACGGGCTCCTCCCGTCGCACGCGGTTAGCCATGAACATGACTGCATAGAAGAACAGCCGCATCTCATGCGCCTTGTCGCCCACCTCTCTCTCCACCTCTCACCTGCATTTCAGTGCTCAGCCACACGTATCGCACGCCGGGATTCTCCCGCCGCACGCGATTAGCCATGAACATGACTGCATAGAAGGAGAAGAGCCGCATCTCATGTGCCTTGTCGCCCTGCCGCACATGCACGCTCACTATCGGACGCGGGATATACGGCTCCGCTCCCACCCCCTCGTAGTTCGCAAGGTAAGGATCCCACCCGTACTGCTCTCCTTCCAAATCTCCTCCTAACCCTCCACTACTGCTGCTGCTGTTGCCGCCTTCGCTTCTGCTGCTGCTACTGCCGCTGCTGCTGCTGCTGCTGCGGCTGCTGCGGCTGGCATCAGCAGACGTCTCAAAACACTTCTTCAATCACGTGGCCCTTCTTCCCAATGTGGTGATAGGGCGTATGAGCACGCTCACACACACACAAGGGCCATCCCACTCCTATCCTCTCCCCGCGTCTCCCCGTCCTCTCCCTTCCCCTATGCAGCCTCTGGGGCAGGGCGTATCTGAAGAGTCCGCTCCGCAACGAGGTGATGGGGCGTATGAGCCCCACTCACTCACACCAGGGTTGCATCTCGCTCCTATCCCCTCCTTGCTTCTCCCCCTCCTCAATACCCACCTTTCTCTCCCTTCCGCTGTGCAGCCTCTGGGGCAAGGCGTATCTGAAGAGTCCACTCCCCAACGAGGTGATGGGGCGTATGGGCGAGCACACCAAGTTCCTAAAAAAGGTGAGGTAACTTCTGAGTCGGCTCAACGCTGGGTGACCTTTGGTTCGACCCAAAACGGCGAGACTAGTGCAGATTAGTGCGGACCTTAAGCTTCTCAGGTGCGTTGGTGGGGTGCGCGGGCGACGCGCTTCATGCTGCATTCGTCTCTGTTCTGCTGTCCTTGTGTGTGCATCTGCTAATCCCCCCTTCCCCCCTTTCCCCACCAGGCGCACTGGTGGAGGGCCCAAGCAACGCGCTTCATGCTGCGGTGGCCGTCGGCCTACCTGTGCCACATCATCAACCGCATCCCCTCCTTCTTTCCCTTCCCTCGCCCTGCTCGTTCTGTTTCCGCTCCCCGTTCAACCGAAGGCGCACTGGTGGAGGGCGCAGGCGACGCGCTTCATGCTGCGGTGGCCGTCGGCCTGCCTGTCTCTCTGCCCAACCTCTCTCACTTCTCTCTCCCTTCCCCCTCCTGCCTCCCTCCTCCCTCCTCCTCCCACCAGGCGCACTGGTGGCGAGCCCAAGCAACGCGCTTCATGCTGCGGTGGCCGTCGGCCTACCTGTGCCACATCATCAACCGCGAGCGCCACCACGTGTACGGCATGCACGTGGCACGCCAGGTCGTGGCGTCCCGCATGGACCAAACAAGCCTGCTGGCAGAGTCCTGGGGAAGCAGCAAGGTCACTAAAGAGCGACAGGAGCTTGGGGGAAGTGACGAAGCGTCTGAGGAGATGGGAGGAGCTTGGGTTGAAGGGAGGGACGGCACCACTTCTTATGAAGAGCGGCATGGTCTCAAGAGCAGAGATAAGTCCCCTGCGTTGCCTCAAAAATCTTCGGAACATTTTGACGGATCGGGAACGAAGGAAGGTGGGATGACGACGGGGAGGAGGGGGGGAAGGAGGGTGAAAAGGAATGGGGTGGACGGAGAGAGGAAGGGCAGTGATGGTGGACAGAAGGAGGTTGGAAGGAGGAGGAGGAGGAGGAGGAGGAGGAGGAGGAGGAGGAGGAGGAGGAGGAGGAGGAGGAGGAGGAGGAGGAGGAGGAGGAGGAGGAGGAGGATGAGGGAGAGTGGGGTTGAGGGCGAGAAGGACGTTGGCCAGTGGAGGGAGTTTGAAGAGCAAGAGAAGCTCGACCTTGGGCCGTCTTCATCCCCCCCCTCTGCTTCTGAGGCGCCTCTGCCCTTTCCTTTTGCTTCGGATGCATTAGGTTCCAGAATAAGCAACCAAGACCAAGGAAGCATGGTTACCAGCCGGGAACGAGTGGATATGGTACGAGGCAGTGGGGGTATCTTGAGGAAAACAGGCCCTGGAATTGGAAACAACTGCAAGGCCTAAGATGGGGTATCAGGGCTGCAGCTTAGGGAATGCCACTGGTGCTGCTAACAGCAGCAGAAGCAGCAGAAGCAGCAGCAGCAGCAGCAGCAGCAGAAGCGGGGGGGTAGGAGATTTGGAAGGAGAGCAGTACGGGTGGGATCCGTATCTTGCGAACTACGGGGGGGTGGGAGGGGAGCCGTATATCCCGCGGCCGATAGTGAGCGTGCATGTGCGGCAGGGCGACAAGTCGTTTGAGATGCGGCTCTTCTCCTTCTACGCAGTCATGTTCATGGCTAATCGGGTGCGGCGGGGGTTCCCCGCCGTGCAATACGCCTGGCTCAGCACTGAGATGCAGGTGAGTGGGGGAGAGGGAGGGAGGAGAGGAAAGGGAAGGGGGGGGGAGGTGAGCACCTGGCTCAGCACAGAGATGCAGGTGAGTGGGGGAGAGGGAGGGAGGAGAGGAAAGGGAAGGGGGGGGGAGGTGAGCACCTGGCTCAGCACAGAGATGCAGGTGAGTGGGGGAGAGGGAGGGAGGAGAGGAAAGGGAAGGGGGGGGGAGGTGAGCACCTGGCTCAGCACAGAGATGCAGGTGAGTGGGGGAGAGGGAGGGAGGAGAGGAAAGGGAAGGGGGGGGAGGTGAGCACCTGGCTCAGCACAGAGATGCAGGTGAGTGGGGGAGAGGGAGGGAGGAGAGGAAAGGGAAGGGGGGGGGAGGTGAGCACCTGGCTCAGCACAGAGATGCAGGTGAGTGGGGGAGAGGGAGGGAGGAGAGGAAAGGGAAGGGGGGGGGAGGTGAGCACCTGACTCAGCACAGAGATGCAGGTGAGTGGGGGAGATTTGGGCGCAGAGTAGAGGGTTGGAATCATGCAGGTGAGGAGGGAGGCGCAGGCTGACCTCCTTCCATGCTGTCATGTTCATGGCCAACCACGTGCGGTGAGGATTCCCCGCTGTTCAATACCCATGGCTCAGCACCGAGATGCAGGTGAGTGGGGGAGAGGGAGGGAGGAGAGGAAAGGGATGGAGGGGGGGGGGGGGGGAGGTGTATGGCAGAGAGGCGCAGGTGAGAAGTAGGGGGCATAGAACTGCATGTGAAGCTATGGGCTGTTGCGCTTCCATTGCATGCATAGAGGGTATCCATTGACCCTGACGTGCGATACGAGTGGCCCAGCAACGATGCAGGCGAGGGTGGAGAGAGGTGGGTGGGGCAGCAGGATTCAGATGAGAGGGTGCTTGCAGCACAAATTTGGACATGATTTATATTTTCCTAGGTGCAAATTAGCGTGTTCTTGCTCCGTGTTTCTTATGGCTGCCATGCAGAGTGTTGTGGATCAGTCAAGCCGCTTCACGGACTGGACTTTTTTCTACTCGGAGGTTCCAAGGCAAGGAGCAGGAACGAGAATGTCGGAATACACGGAGATGTTTGGCCTCGCGCGTACAGTGGGGATCAGCTTTGCAAACCTGCTTATCGCTTCGGAATGCGACCATTTTGTTGGCGTCCTGGCGTCAAATTGGAATAGGATGATTAACGAGCTCAAGAACACCAATGGGCGTTTATATAGTGGGTACATGTCGTTAAACAACGACGAGTGGTGATTTAGTTTTGCGTATTGCAATCGCTGTAATGCCATGCTCTACCATGAATTTGAAGCAGCATTGTGTTAGGAAGCTCACAATCACCTCATCTTGCTGTGAGGGGAAAATACCCCTGACTGTACCATGCTGTAATAACACTATATTTTTCCTCGTGCTATAGCGAATCCATCTTCCACTTCTGACACGCGCTGTCAGCAGTCCTGTACACATACTGTGGTTGAGGTCTTGGGCTAATATTGCGGCGTTTCCTAGATCCGTATTCAACGCTCTGATCCGATGCTCGAGAATCGAGATGCACAAAGCGGTGTTTCCGAGGTTCCTGCCTGTCTAATTCAGAGCAGCCTCCAATGATTCTGCTTCTCCCAGTTACTAAACAGACACCCCCGCGTGCAGATTATTAGGCCAGCAGTTCTTTAGTTACTCTTACGTCTAGATTCTGAAGCTCGTGGCATTTGTTTAGCTGACAGTACCAGGCTTTCACCAGCTGTTAATACTGGATTCCATTTGCGAAGTTGCTACCGCGAGTTTATGTCGCATCGCGACAGTTTTATGGCGCCCTGAAAGGCGTCGCTCAGAACAGCCTAACTGCATCGTTCATTCAGAACTTCAATTCTCGGACACACTTTTCTTAAAACCAGGGTGCACATTCAACGCGGTTCGGCTTGAGATGTTGGGAAGGGGGTTTGGAGAAAAACAGTGATTGGCTCACGAGGGGCGACAAAAAAATGATTCCGCTAGAGCTTCGGGCATTTCGTAGGTGGCGGGAGGGGGTGAAATGGCGGGAGTGGGTGAAACCGAATGGCGGGAGGGATGAAACAGATTGGCGGGAGGGGGGGGAAACGAAATTGCGGGGGAGGGGGGAAACAAAATTGCGGGGGAGGGGGGAAACGAATTTCGACTTGAAGGGGTTGAAAGCACACCTCGTAACCCACTCAGTCAAGGGATAACCTTTGATGCACATTCAGCTGAATGTGCACCCCGGTTTTATAACGTTGTGCACCGTAACTGCAACTCCCACTCCAGATTTTCCTCTAGTGACCCCCCACCGTTTCAAAATTCGTCTCCCGTGAGTCACTTTCGAGATTCTCAAAAGTGACATCGCTGTTTCAGAATTCATCGCGTTTCGGGACTGGTGCAGCCAGACGTAGCCGACGGCCATGATTCCTCCGGCGGCCATGGATCCGGAGATGGTTCGGCTGGCACAGGAGCAGATGAGCCGTATGTCGCCTCAAGACATTCAACGTATGCAGCAGGTGAGAATCGTGCGTGTTCTTGCTTTCAGTCGACTCAGAACACACCTGCACAGGAGCAGATGAGCCGCATGTCTCCTCAAGACATTCAACGCATGCAGCAGGTGAGAATTGTGTGTGTTTTTTTATTCGACTCAGAACACACTTGTTTCTCGTATAAGATGACGCGGCGAGTCGGACTTGCGGTCAAGAGGCAGTTGTATGAAGCGCAAGCTGTTTCGAGGCTCCCCCGTGCATTCCCATGCAGATGATGACGCCGGACATGATTCGTCTAGCTTTTGAGTCGACTCAGAAGTCACCTCCTTCCCATGCAGATGATGACACCGGACATGAGACGTCTAGCTTTTGAGTCGACTCAGAAGTCACCTCCTTCCCATGCAGATGATGACACCGGACATGATTCGTCTAGCTTTTGAGTCGACTCAGAAGTCACCTCCTTCCCATGCAGATGATGACGCCGGACATGATTCGTCTAGCTTTTGAGTCGACTCAGAAGCCACCTCCTTCCCATGCAGATGATGACGCCGGACATGATTCGTCTAGCTTTTGAGTCGACTCAGAAGCCACCTCCTTCCCATGCAGATGATGACGCCGGACATGATTCGTCTAGCTTTTGAGTCGACTCAGAAGCCACCTCCTTCCCATGCAGATGATGACGCCGGACATGATTCGTCTAGCTTTTGAGTCGACTCAGAAGCCACCTTCTTCCCATGCAGATGATGACGCCGGACATGATCCGTCTAGCTTTTGAGTCGACTCAGAAGCCACCTCCTTCCCATGCAGATGATGACGCCGGACATGATCCGTCTAGCTTTTGAGTCGACTCAGAAGCCACCTCCTTCCCATGCAGATGATGACGCCGGACATGATCCGTCTAGCTTTTGAGTCGACTCAGAAGCCACCTCCTTCCCATGCAGATGATGACGCCGGACATGATCCGTCTAGCTTTTGAGTCGACTCAGAAGTCACCTCCTTCCCATGCAGATGATGACGCCGGACATGATCCGTCTAGCTTTTGAGTCGACTCAGAAGTCACCTCCTTCCCATGCAGATGATGACGCCGGACATGATCCGTCTAGCTTTTGAGTCGACTCAGAAGTCACCTCCTTCCCATGCAGATGATGACGCCGGACATGATTCGTCTAGCTTTTGAGTCGACTCAGAAGCCACCTCCTTCCCATGCAGATGATGACGCCGGACATGATTCGTCTAGCTTTTGAGTCGACTCAGAAGCCACCTCCTTCCCATGCAGATGATGACGCCGGACATGATTCGTCTAGCTTTTGAGTCGACTCAGAAGCCACCTCCTTCCCATGCAGATGATGACGCCGGACATGATTCGTCTAGCTTTTGAGTCGACTCAGAAGCCACCTCCTTCCCATGCAGATGATGACGCCGGACATGATTCGTCTAGCTTTTGAGTCGACTCAGAAGTCACCTCCTTCCCATGCAGATGATGACGCCGGACATGATTCGTCTAGCTTTTGAGTCGACTCAGAAGTCACCTCCTTCCCATGCAGATGATGACGCCGGACATGATTCGTCTAGCTTTTGAGTCGACTCAGAAGTCACCTCCTTCCCATGCAGATGATGACGCCGGACATGATTCGTCTAGCTTTTGAGTCGACTCAGAAGTCACCTCCTTCCCATGCAGATGATGACGCCGGACATGATTCGTCTAGCTTTTGAGTCGACTCAGAAGTCACCTCCTTCCCATGCAGATGATGACGCCGGACATGATTCGTCTAGCTTTTGAGTCGACTCAGAAGTCACCTCCTTCCCATGCAGATGATGACGCCGGACATGATTCGTCTAGTTTGAGTCGACTCAGAAGTCACCTCCTTCCCATGCAGATGATGACGCCGGACATGATTCGTCTAGCTTTTGAGTCGACTCAGAAGTCACCTCCTTCCCATGCAGATGATGACGCCGGACATGATTCGTCTAGCTTTTGAGTCGACTCAGAAGTCACCTCCTTCCCATGCAGATGATGACGCCGGACATGATTCGTCTAGCTTTTGAGTCGACTCAGAAGTCACCTCCTTCCCATGCAGATGATGACACCGGACATGATTCGTCCCGCTTTTGAGTCGACTCAGAAGTCACCTCCTTCCCATGCAGATGATGACGCCGGACATGATTCGTCTAGCCGCTTTTGAGTCGACTCAGAAGTCACCTCCTTCCCATGCAGATGATGACGCCGGACATGATTCGTCTAGCTTTTGAGTCGACTCAGAAGTCACCTCCTTCCCATGCAGATGATGACGCCGGACATGATTCGTCTAGTTTGAGTCGACTCAGAAGTCACCTCCTTCCCATGCAGATGATGACGCTGGACATGATTCGTCTAGCGTTTGAGTCGACTCAGAAGTCACCTCCTTCCCATGCAGATGATGACGCCGGACATGATTCGTCTAGCTTTTGAGTCGACTCAGAAGTCACCTCCTTCCCATGCAGATGATGACGCCGGACATGATTCGTCTGGCCACAGAGCAGATGAGTCGCATGTTTCGCTCTTCGCAAACCTCTCAGTTTCAACCACCCCTCTCCCCCCCACCCTTCCCCCCCCGCCCCCCTCTCCCCCTCCTCGGTGCCTTCCCATGCAGATGATGACCCCAGACATGATTCGGCTGGCCACAGAGCAGATGGGGCGCATGTCACCGGAGGAGTTTGTTTTTGAGGCGCCTTACATATAGTCCCGCCCCCCCCTTCCATGCGCCCCCTCCCCTCCTCCATGCGCCCCCTCCCCTCCTCCATGCGCCCCCTCCCCTCCTCCATGCGCCCCCTCCCCTCCATGTGCCCTCACTTCTCTGCAGATGATGACCCCAGACATGATTCGGCTGGCCACGGAGTAGATGGGGCGCATGACACCATCTTCACATCCTCTCACTTCCAACCCAATCTCGGACTCTTCCCTCCACCCCTCCCTCCACCCATCCCTCCCCTCCCATGCAGATGATGACCCCGGACATGATTCGGCTGGCAACGGAGCAGATGGGGCGCATGACACCGGAGGACATGCGGCGGGCAGCGGAGCAGATGAAGCGCCTCAGCCCGCACCAGATCGCCTCCGCCATGGGCAGTGCCGGTGCAGGCGGCGGGTGGGGTTGGCGCTGCGGCTGCTGCTGGGGGGATTTCAGGAGCACTTGGGTGAAGCAACCCTTTTCACTCCTTCGTCCCCCTCCTCCCCCCCTCCTCCCCCCCTCCTCCCCCCGCCCTCCACCACCTCCCTCGCTCCCTCCCTCCTTCCCTCCCTCCTCCATGGCCAGATGATGGCACCAGACATGATTCGGCTGGCAACGGAGCAGATGGGGCGCATGACACCGGAGGACATGCGGCGGGCAGCGGAGCAGATGAAGCACTTCAGCCCGCACCAGATCGCCTCCGCCATGGGCACTGCCGGTGCTGCTGGGGGGATCCCAGGGGCAGCAGCGGGAGGAGGGGGAGTGGGAGGAGGTGCAGCAGGGGGGTTGCCGGATGTGGCATCGTATATGAGCCAGCGGCAGCAGTATGAGCTAAATGCTGCAACGATGCTCAAGAATGAGGTTAGTGGTTGTGGAATTTTCACTGGTCCTTTTTGGGTGCCCTGAAAAGAACCAGCAGGAGGATGGGAAAGGGGAGAGCTTCCCCTTGTAGCAGCAGCAGCAGCAGCAGCAGGGTGGTTGCCTCTTTTTTGAGGCGCCTCAAAAACGACCTGTAGCAGCAGCAGCAGCATCAGCAGGGTGGTTGCCTCTTTTTTGAGGCGCCTCAAAAACGACCTGTAGCAGCAGCAGCAGCAGCAGCAGCATGGCGGTTGCCTCGTATGTGAGCCGGGGTTTAGCCTACAGCCCCTAGCCCGGACACTCTTTCCATCTCCCTTTCTCTCCCTCCCACATGTGTGTGTACGTGCAGGGCAACAAGCTGCATGGGATGGGAAAGTACTCAGAAGCTGCAGAGAAGTATAACAGGGTATGTGTGTGAGTGGCACGGCGAGAGGGGGGGTACGGGGAGGACTTTGGAAGTGTGTCCAGGGAAGTGCAACAGGGAAATGCAACAGAATACGTGTGTGTGTCGTCGCATGGAGAGAGTGCTGGAAGGGAAGTACCAGGAAGGAAGGTATGTGCATCTTTCAATGAACTAAGGGGTTGAGAGGGATGCAGAGGGATGGCAATCCGGTTCAGAGGCATCGCAATGCACTCATCTCCAGCAGCAATGTGTGCGGTCAACCTCATCACCTGCCACCCAACACCACCTCCTGTCCCCTTGATGGCCCACTCTACCCGTGCTCTCTGCTTGCTCTCCCTTACTCTCTCCTTCTCTCCCCTTCACTCCTCCTCAGGCACGGGGCAATCTAGCCATGCATTCGTCCCCAGCAGCGGTGTCCCTGCGGCGCACGTGTGCAGTCAACCTTATGTCCTGTCACCTCAAGACCAACGCCTTTGCCCATGCTGTCTCTGTTGGCACTCAGGTGAGCCTTTGTTGGCTCTCAGGTGGTTCTGTTTTGGCTCTCAGGTGGTTCTCTGTTGGCTCTCAGGTGGTTCTTTGTTGTCTCTTAGGTGGGCTTTCCAATGAGACAAACCAGTGTTGTTCTCGTCACTGCAGTTGGATTGCGCATGGTAATCTGCTCTGCACAATTTTTCTCCGATTCAACTTTGTACACCACCCGTTTGTCTTTTTCCATGACTATTTACCCAGGTGATTTCCGAAGATGGGTCTAACCTCAAGGCGCTGTACAGACGAGGACTGGCTTACAAGGAGCTTGGGCAGTTGAAAGTAAGTTCGGGGTTCTGAATACAGGGAGCGAAGTAAGTGCCCGGTTTAGAATACAGGAAGAGTAGAACGAAGGCACGAACTGCTCAGAAATTGCGTCCCTTCAGTTGAGATGCTGCAAGTACGATGGTTGGATTTTATCAGTTTCGAAACGCTTTGTTAGCGTCCTTCTGTGCAGGAGGCAGTAGTAGCAGATCTATCCTTAGCAGCACGGATCTCACTGGATGGTGCCTGAGGTGTTATTGAGTTTAGACATGTAACATTACTTGTTGAATTGCTGCTGCCTCCCTTTGCCATCCACCCGTCCTTTCTTCTGTGCAGGAGGCAGCAGCAGACCTGTCCAAAGCAGCAGAGATCTCACCGGATGATGAAACGCTGGCAGGGGTACTCAGGTGGGGTGCAGGCACTCACAGAGCAATCCCTGTTTCCTGATTGGCATCCGTATCAAGCACGCAAGCAAGCATGCACTGGGAAAGAGGTGGGGGGGTGTGAGGTCACAAGGGGGGAAGAGCGTTAAGAGAGATGTCCGCTGTGTCGCTTATTAGATTCTCTCTTTCTTTCTCCATTCACCGTTTTCTCTCTCCCCCGCCCAATCCGCTGTGTCGCTTATTAGATTTTCTCTTTCTTCCTCCCCTTCTGTTTACGTCCCTTCCTATGTATTCATATGCATTCAGAGAAACCAAAGCAGCACTGGAAGCTACAAAGAAGAAAGGTATGCTGGTTGATAGTGCAGATAGTGTGATGTATATATATTTGAACAGTGCACTTGTTTCCCTCTCACCTGATTTCACCCCTCTCCCGTTAAGATTTCTCTTTCTTGAATCAATTTCCCAATTTCCCTCCCTTCCCGCTCCCCACCTTCTTCCTTCCTCTCATTCTCAATTCCCACATCCTGTGCTTTTCTTTCCCCCTCCTGCTTGCGTGCCCATCCTTCCCTTGCCTGCTGCAGTTTCTCTGGTGGACATCGATGAGGGTGACGATGCTCCTGCTCCATCCTCTGCTGCTCGGACTCCCTCCCCACACCCTGCTGCTTTCTTTCTCCCGCCTTCTTGCCCCCCCGCCCATCCTTCCCTTGCCTGCTGCAGTTTCTCTGGAGGACATCGATGAGGGCGACGATGCTCCTGCTCCCTCCCTGGCTGCCTCCCCTGCTGCCTCTCCTGCTGCTCGGCCCACACCCTGCCTCTTGCGTGCCCATCCTTCCCTTGCCTGCTGCAGTTTCTCTGGAGGACATCGATGAGGGTGACGATGCTCCTGCTGCCTCCGCTGCTGCTCGGTCTCCCTCCCGACACGCTGCTGCTCGGCCCACACCCTGCTCCTTCTTTTCTCCCGCCTTCTTGCCCCCCCGCCCATCCTTCCCTTGCCTGCTGCAGTTTCTCTGGAGGACATCGATGAGGGTGACGATGCTCCTGCCCCATCCTCTGCTGTCTCCTCTGCTTCTGGAGCGGTAATTTCACCATCAGTGGCAGAAGCACAACCAGCAGCAGCGGCAGCAGCAGCAGTGGGAAGCAATCCGCTGTTCATCCCTCCCTCGGTGCCCACCATGTCTCCTGATCTCTCCGCCACCGACCCTGCTCTCGTGCGGTGAGTTGCAAACCCTCATGCCTTGTCATGCTAACAGCAGCATCAGTGGCACCAGCACAGCCAGCAGTGCCAGCAGCAGCAGGAGCAGCAGCAGCAGCAGTGGGTGACAATCCGCTGTTCATCCCTCCCTCGGTGCCCACCATGTCTCCTGATCTCTCCGCCACCGACCCTGCTCTCGTGCGGTGAGTTGCAAACCCTCATGCCTTGTCATGCTAACAGCAGCATCAGTGGCACCAGCACAGCCAGCAGTGCCAGCAGCAGCAGGAGCAGCAGCAGCAGCAGTGGGTGACAATCCGCTGTTCATCCCTCCCTCGGTGCCCACCATGTCTCCTGATCTCTCCGCCACCGACCCTGCTCTCGTGCGGTGAGTTGCAAACCCTCATGCCTTGTCATGCTAACAGCAGCATCAGTGGCACCAGCACAGCCAGCAGTGCCAGCAGCAGCAGGAGCAGCAGCAGCAGCAGTGGGTGACAATCCGCTGTTCATCCCTCCCTCGGTGCCCACCATGTCTCCTGATCTCTCCGCCACCGACCCTGCTCTCGTGCGGTGAGTTGCAAACCCTCATGCCTTGTCATGCTAACAGCAGCATCAGTGGCACCAGCACAGCCAGCAGTGCCAGCAGCAGCAGGAGCAGCAGCAGCAGCAGTGGGTGACAATCCGCTGTTCATCCCTCCCTCGGTGCCCACCATGTCTCCTGATCTCTCCGCCACCGACCCTGCTCTCGTGCGGTGAGTTGCAAACCCTCATGCCTTGTCATGCTAACAGCAGCATCAGTGGCACCAGCACAGCCAGCAGTGCCAGCAGCAGCAGGAGCAGCAGCAGCAGCAGTGGGTGACAATCCGCTGTTCATCCCTCCCTCGGTGCCCACCATGTCTCCTGATCTCTCCGCCACCGACCCTGCTCTCGTGCGGTGAGTTGCAAACCCTCATGCCTTGTCATGCTAACAGCAGCATCAGTGGCACCAGCACAGCCAGCAGTGCCAGCAGCAGCAGGAGCAGCAGCAGCAGCAGTGGGTGACAATCCGCTGTTCATCCCTCCCTCGGTGCCCACCATGTCTCCTGATCTCTCCGCCACCGACCCTGCTCTCGTGCGGTGAGTTGCAAACCCTCATGCCTTGTCATGCTAACAGCAGCATCAGTGGCACCAGCACAGCCAGCAGTGCCAGCAGCAGCAGGAGCAGCAGCAGCAGCAGCAGTGGGTGACAATCCGCTGTTCATCCCTCCCTCGGTGCCCACCATGTCTCCTGATCTCTCCGCCACCGACCCTGCTCTCGTGCGGTGAGTGGTGTGAATTTTGATGCCTTGCCATGCCAGCAGCAGCATCACAACCAGCAGCGGCGGCGGCAGCAGTGGGAAGCAATCCGCTGTTCATCCCTCCCTCGGTACCCACCATGTCTCCCGACCTCTCTGCCACCGACCCTGCTCTCGTGCGGTGAGTGGTGAATTGTCATGATGCCTTGCCATGCCATCAGCAGTATCAGTGGCAGAAGCACAGCCAGCAACATGCAGGCGATGATGACGAGCATGGATCCAGCAGCGGTGGCGGCGCTGAGTGGCTGTACTAACAGGCAACCCCAAGAAGCAACCCTGAGTGACACTCCCTTCTGTTGGGCTTACACAAACTCCCTGCCCCTCTCCTTCTACTCCCCCCAGCAACATGCAGGCAATGATGACGAGCATGGATCCAGCAGCAGTGGCGGCGCTGAGTGGCGGCGCCCTATCCCCCGAAATGGCCCGCACTGCAGCGCAGCTCGTCGGCTCCATGTCCCCGGAAGACCTCCAAAAGATGATGCGCCTTGCTTCGACCTTTAGCCAAGCGGGGGTAGGGGTTGCTGGGGGGACGGGGAGCGGGGGAGTAGGGGGAACGGGGGGACCAGGGGGCGCAGGGGGAACTGGGGGAGTGGGGGCAGGAAGATCTGCTGGTGGTGCTGGGAGCGGCGGCGGCGGCAGTGGCAGCAGAGGGAGCGGCAGTGATGATTCCGATCCTGTATTGACTCCCACAACGGGGAGCGCAAGCAGCAGAAGCACAGCTAATGCCGCTGCTACTGCTGCTGCTCCTGCTGTTACAGAGACCACGTATGGCATGCCTCCAGGATTTGGGAGAGAAGCTGAGGCAGCAGGGGGGGCAGCAGGACGGGGGGGGTTCAGTGGAGGAGGGGTGGGAGCGGCTGGGATGCCGGCGCCAGGTGTCGGCGGGGGATTGGACCCGATGCAGCTACAGGAAAGGCTGCTGAACGACCCTTCTACTGTGAAGGTAAGGCCAATTTCTGGGGCGCCTTAAAAAAAAAAAGACTTGTGGGTAGAGAGACAACTTCTGAGGCGCCTCAAAAGAACGGCTGTTGAACGACCCTTTGACTGTGGAGGTAAGGCCAAATCTTGGGGCGCCTCAGAAATAAAAACTGTGGGTAGAGAGACGACTTATGAGACGCCTCAAAAGAGCAGCGCTTGAGTGACCCGTCCACTGTGAAGGTAAGGCCAACAGCTGCGGCAGGGTGCAGAGGACACTACAGCTATGAGCTCGCGCATGGGGCAACTCGTTATAACCCCTTCCGCCTCCATTCTCACTGTCCCTCCTGCCCTTGTGTAACCTCACCCCACAACCCCCCCCCCCTCCCCAGCTGATGAGCGACATGATGCAGCAGCTGAGCGCAGAGGACATTGCAGCCATGAGCTCTCGCATGGGGCAGAGCATGTCAATGAGAGCAGGCAGAGTAGATGTGTGCATGAATCTTCTGCCCCACCCCACCCCGACCCACCTTACCCCAACCCACTGCTCCCCACCTTATCCCACCTTACCCCACCGCACCACACTCTACTGCACCCCACCCAATCCCTTTCCAGCTCATGAGCGACATGATGCAGCAGCTGAGTGCAGAGGACATCGCAGCCATGAGCTCTCGCATGGGGCAGAGCATGTCGGTGGAGCAGGCAGAGCAGGCCAAGCGCATGATGCAGGGGCTGGGACCGGAGAGGCTGGCGACGGTGGTAAGTGGTGGCAAAGGATTGGAAATCGGTTTGTGTGTGTCTGACTTTAGATATATAGGATGTGTGCATGGGGCAGAACATGTGGGTCGAGTGGAGCAGATGGAGCAGGCAGAGCAGGCCAAGCGCATGATGCAGGGGCTGGGACCGGAGAGGCTGGCGACGGTGGTAAGATGGGGGGTTTGGTTGCTTTGTGTGGCACTGAATCGGGAGTGTATGGTGCAGAGTGTGTGGGTAGAGGCAGAGCATGTGGGTGGAGCAGGCAGAGCAGGCCAAGCAGATGATGCAGGGTCTGGGGCCTGAGAGGCTGCCACTGTGGTGAGAGGGAAGGCTGACCTGTAAGTGGCAATGGATAGGGAGTGCATGTGGCAGAATAGATTTGTTTTTTGTTTTGTTTTGATTTTTTATTTATTTATTCTAGAGAGACGGGGGGTTGGGCCATGTGTGGCAATGGATAGGGAGTGCATGTGGCAGAGTAGAGCATGTGGGTGGGGTGGAGCAGGGGAAGCTGGATTGACTCTGTCTCGCATGTGACTGACTGACACATACAAGCTTTTACAGTGGGACGTGATGTGAGCTTCACTCGATTATTGTTACTCTCGCCTACCTGGCCAACCCCGCCAACCCCTCTCCCCTTCTTTGTCGCATTTGCAGATGAAGTTCGCCCAGAAGGCACAAACAGCTGCAGCAAGGTTTCAGGAGGCGGTGCGCTGGCTGCTGCAACGGCCAGTGCTTCTGGCCTCCATCATTATCCTCGTTATTGCGGTCTTCATTCATTACATGGGCTGGTTTTCCTGATTTAGGGGAAATTTTGTTTCGTATGATGCATGAACATTGTATCAGGTGACAGAAAGTCAAACACCTGAAATGCTAATTTTATATAACCCAACAAGAAGTACGTATTGTTGATCCAGCGCAAATTGGGAAGTCTACAAGCGAGGAATTCCAAGCGTATCGCGTGAGACAAGCTGCTACATTGCTGGGCGACTTTCTTTCGCGAATTCCCCTTGGAAGAAAAACTCAAGTCGCGAACATCACCATCACCGTCGCTGTCACCGTCAACCGCGGCGATCTCGTCCCTCCATGGCCGCCAGCAAGCCTCTGCGAAGCGCGGCACGATCGAGGTGGCCTTGGCCGCGGATCGCGGGAGCTGCGATCCTTGCCGGTGCGACGCTCGGCGTTACTTACAGCGTCGCAGACGATGCTCTGCTCTTCTACCGATGCAGCAGGTAGCCGTTAGATCGGCTCTTATGTCATCTTAGCCGTTGGATCGTCTATTACATCCTCTTAGCCGCTGGTTTTTCGATCATGTCCGCTTAACCGTAGGATCATCAGGCACCCTTTTAGCCGTTATGTTCGTCGATCATGCTCTCGTCTTACCGTTAGGGTAACCGTTAGGATCTCCATAATCGTTTTTAACGTTAGGGTAGTCGATCGTGTCCTCTTATCCGTGGAATCGCCCGCTATCCTTCTCAGCCTTTGGATCGGCAACTTCTTATCATCAAGTCCTCGTTTGTTACGCTTTAAAAGTCCACGTTACCACGCCTTCACCTTGTGTGTGCGTCTTCGTCGCTGCTAGTACAGTGAAGCATTGGAGGTCGCGAACCGAAACGAGCAGCTGTTGTTCAAGACAGCGATTGAATCACTCTTACCGTAAAAGGGGTAGAAAGCCTAAATTAATTATTATACTACCGCTGTCCTGTGCGTCCTGTCGTTGTCAGGACAGTGAGGCATTGGAGGTGGCGAGTCGGAACGAGCAGCTAAAGGCGGCGATCGGATCGCCGATAACGCGAGGCCCTTGGTACAGCGCCACTATCGGTACTTCTCATGGCGGACGCGCAGCTTCCGCGACGTTCCCTGTGGAGGGGCCGCAGGGCTCAGCGCTGTTTCACCTTCGCGCGATCAGGACGCACGGTCAGTCAGTCAGTCGTTGTCAGTCAGTCGATCAGTCAGTCGGTCGGTCAGTCTTTCTGACAGTCAGTCGTTTCGTCACACTCACTCTTTCAATCAGTGAGTTGGTCAAACAGTCACTCAGTCAGTCATTTAAGTCAGTCATATTTCCGGTCCGTCCATCAGTCAGTTACTTCATCGGTCGGACGGTCGGTCAGCGGGTCTATTCGTTGGTCAGTCAGTCAGTCGATCTGACTCTGTCAATCCCTCCGTCCGTCCTCATTCCATCCCTCCTCCCATCCCTCTCTCCATCCCTCACTTAATCCTCCAACCCATTTCTCACTTCATCCCTCCCTTCATTTCTCCTCTTTCCCATCTAATGGCATATCAACGACCTTGCAGGCGGCAGGAGCACCCTCCTTTACAACCTCCAATCAGACGCGAAGTGGCAGCTGTTCGTGCTCCAGGCCACTATTGCCCCCAGAATAGCGTTGGGAGCTGATACTGCCGCTACTGCCACTACTGCAGCTACTGCTGCTGCTGCTGCTGCTGCTGCTGGGGACTTGAAAGCAAAAGCGTCTGCGGTCACCGTGCCAGCTGCAGCAGCAGCAGCACAAGGAACAGCACCATCAGGAGAAAATGCATTGCGAGCTGAAGCAGCAAGACCAGCACAAGCAGCAGTGCCAGGAGCATCACCAGCATCAGCAGCAGCGCCGACAGCAACAGTATCAGCAGTGCCTCAGTCTTTCCGCCTTGACCTTCTATACGGCCCTAGTGGTCCATCTGTGGTGAAAGCTGCTGCAGCGGAGAGTCAAGAGGGAGAGTGCCTGCCTTGCCAAGCACGCACACAGTCCCCAAAAGACGCGAGCTAACAGCACCACCACTACGAGTAGCAGAAGCAGCAGCAGCAGCAGCAGCCGCAGCACTACGAGCAGCAGCAGCAGCAGCAGCAATGCTCAGTCCTTCCGCATTGACCTACTAGTGGTCCACCTGTAGTGAAGGCTGTCGCAGCGGAGTGCCACAAAGGAGAGTAAAAGCAAAGCTAGAAGGTAGCTTAGGGGAAAATATGCACAGCTAAGCCATGCACAGGAGCAGGCAGGGAAGCAGGCAGGGAGGCTGAGAGAAAATGTTTGCGAACAGTTACCATAAATTCAGTGACGTGGTGGTTAGCAATGTCATGTATATTACAGTACTAAGTATTATGCTTAACACGTACGGTACCTGTCTCAGCGTGCATTATATTTGTATTGTAAGCATCTTGAAAATTAGTCTGATACCGTATCAGAGTTCGTTGAGACTTTTTTTTTTGTACCTAGTCTGAAGCAGGCCCTCAGATTCACTTTTAGGGTCGTCAACCCATCAGGGCCCCCTTGTGTGTAAACTCTGATTGACAGTGTTCCAAAATAAAAAGGCTGAAATGGCAGTGCTGTGTTTGTAAAAAGCCTGATGCATCAGTGTAGCACTAGTAAAAAGGCTGTCACTAACGCGTCGCATGTGATGGCAACGGGGCAGGATCCTTGGCAGCCCTCCAGCACCACATGGTGGCCACGCTCGGATTGGCCAAGACTGACTGCTGCAACGAAACGGCCCAATGGTGTGAGGCGCCGCGCCAACAAAATACCTCTGAACGTGAACCAGAGGCAGAATTTCACAGGTTGGCCTCGCCACGGGGTGCTTACACCTCGGGAATCTGAGATTCTCTGTAATTGCGGTCAAATCCACATGGCACGGGTAAGAATCGCTTCAGTGTTGGTTTCGTTACAACGTTGTGGCATCAGTGTCCTAGGGGGAAAAAGTCTGAAATTTCAGTGTGGCCTAACAAAAAAAGTCTGAAATTTCAGTCCCTCAAAAATCTCAACACTGACTTTTCAGGGTAGGTAAAAAAAGGACTGCCAAAATCAGGAATTTCAGGGTTTTTTTTCCTGATATCTGAGGCCCTGGTCTGAAGTCGAAGTTTTTCTTTATGTACCTTGTCTGATTTTCCGAGTTCTTTTTTATGTATTGGCTGAAATTTCAGCCTAATTTTATGAGTGTAGGCTGAGCCCTCAGCCTTGTATCGAAGGTGCACTCTGAAACCGGTAATACAGGAGTTTCCGCCAGCCTAGCGACGTGTAGCACTGACACCGTCAATCCCAGGCGGGAAACCAAAATTTCCCGAGCGCGGCACCGCACAGTCGCGTTGGTACAGGAATGTTGTAATCAGGTTCAATTCTGTCAGAATTACTTTATTATAACTGCATGTAGATCTAGCAGTAGTGTAGTTATCACATTTTCCTGTTTGGTGGTTTACCCCCTTTCCTCCCCTACCGTATTTGTACCTTTGACTCTATGGTGAAAATCTCTTCCTTTCTCGACATCCTCCTCTCTTGTCACCTTCCTAGGTTCCTAACTGTCAGAATTACTTTATTATAACTGCATGTAGATCTAGCAGTAGTGTAGTTATCACATTTTCCTGTTTGGTGGTTTACCCCCTTTCCTCCCCTATTTGTACCTTTGACTCTATAGTGAAAACCTCTTCCTTTTTCGACATCCTCCTCTCTTGTCACCGTCCTAGGTTCCTAACCTAGTCTACTTTTTGGCACTAACCTAGTCTACTTTCTGACATGGTATCAGAGCTGTAAGATCCTAAGACCAATTTTTTTAGGATCATGGGCCCACCCGTCGCGCAGCCCGTAATGCGCCCCGCGGGTCCCCCGAATCGCCCCATGGACGACCCCCGCGGGTCCCGCGTTTCGCTCTCTGCAGGCCCCCCCGTTTCGCGCTCCGAAGGCCTGCTCGTCGCGCCCGTTGCGCCCTCCCCGTCGCGCCCGTCCGCCCTGTCCGTCCGTCGCGCCCTGCGCGCCTTTCCCATCCGTTGCGCCCCCGCTGCGCGCCGTCCCGTCCCTTCACGCGTCGCCTGCCCCGCCCCGTTCCGTCACGACCGCAACAGCAGCAGCGCGCGCAGCTGCGTACAACCGTGCGCACCCGCGCACGGTCGTGTGCGTCAGCGCCAGCGCCAGCGCCAGACGCCGCCGCCAGCGCCAGCGCCCATGCCGCCCCCCCCCCCCCCCCCCCCCACCCGCCCTCTCCTTCCCTCTTCCTCTCTCCCTGTAGCACATGGTGCTGTAGGGGGGGGGGGGGGGGGGGGGGGGAGAGCGGTTCAGGGGGGATGAGAGAGGTTAATGGAGGGTAAGAGAGAGCGGCGGAAACAGCAGCCATGCGTCTGCAGCTGCCGCCCGCTGCTACCGTGGCACCTACAGCTGCAGCCCCTGACGCCACTCTCTCTTCGTTCGTCTTTCTTTGCTGTTGAGCTGCAGGCGTTGCCGTTGAGCCCTGCGTTGCCGCCACCCTTTCTAGCCGCACGCACCTGCTCTCCAGGCTACCTGCGCCACATGCACCTTCTCTTTGTTTCTTTCTTGCCTCAGGGCTTACTGCAACTGTCTCTGCCACTACTGCACTGGTTGTCATTGCTCTTGCGTGCTGTTGCTTTGAGTACACCTGCAGGTTGTGATTTGCACTTTGCTATTCCTACATGCAGTTATGGGGGGATGTCAGAATTACTTTATTATAACTGCATGTAGATCTAGCAGTAGTGTAGTTATCACATTTTCCTGTTTGGTGGTTTACCCCCTTTCCTCCCCTATTTGTACCTTTGACTCTATAGTGAAAACCTCTTCCTTTCTCGACATCCTCCTCTCTTGTCACCTTCCTAGGTTCCTAACCTAGTATACTTTCTGACAAATTCCAACCTAGAGTAGATTGTTTGCTCATTAATCTATAAAAGAGATCAGCCTAAAATTTGTGTGTAACGCTGAACGTTCAGCCTAAAAAACATAGTGTGGTCTGAATTTTCAGCCTGAAAATTGGAGGCAACTCTGACTGACAGAGTTCAGAGAAGGGTGCCTGCTGATTGATCAGCGTGTCCCAAAACGAATCTACGGGCCTGCTTGAAAATTAGGTACGACCGCACTGCAACACCAAACAGATTGCTTGCTTCGTGACTAACCAGGACATTCAGTCTGTCCATCTACAGTGTCACTGTCAAAATCGAATCACCACTCCCCATTATTTACAGAGACATACCCATTATACAAGCGTCCATTAGTGTTCTTAAGCTCGTTGATCATCCTGTTCCAATTCGACGCCAGGACACCAACAAAAAAGTCGCACTCAGAAGCAATAATAAGATTCGCGAAGCTGATCCCCACTGTACGCGCCAGGCCAAACTTTTCAGTGTACTCGGACATTCTCGTTCCAGCTCCTTGTCGCGGAAGCTTGGAGTAGAAAAAAGTCCAGTCTGTGAATCGGCTCGACTGATCCACAACACTCTGTAGAACATGGAAAGAAAGAAATAAATAGAAATTGATACTCTCCCCCCTCTCTCTCACCTGCATGTCAGTGCTAAGCCACATGTATGGCGTGTCAGGGTCAATCAATACCCTCTGTGCATGGGCCGCATGAGTGCATTTACCTTATATACAAACTATTCATGCCCGCTCTCACCTGCATCTCAGTGCTAAGCCACACGCATCGCACACCGGGCTCCTCCCGTCGCACGCGGTTAGCCATGAACATGACTGCATAGAAGAACAGCCGCATCTCATGCGCCTTGTCGCCCACCTCTCTCTCCACCTCTCACCTGCATTTCAGTGCTCAGCCACACGTATCGCACGCCGGGATTCTCCCGCCGCACGCGATTAGCCATGAACATGACTGCATAGAAGGAGAAGAGCCGCATCTCATGTGCCTTGTCGCCCTGCCGCACATGCACGCTCACTATCGGACGCGGGATATACGGCTCCGCTCCCACCCCCTCGTAGTTCGCAAGGTAAGGATCCCACCCGTACTGCTCTCCTTCCAAATCTCCTCCTAACCCTCCACTACTGCTGCTGCTGTTGCCGCCTTCGCTTCTGCTGCTGCTACTGCCGCTGCTGCTGCTGCTGCTGCGGCTGCTGCGGCTGGCATCAGCAGCAGCGGTGCCATCAGCTAAGCTGCAGCCTTGGTACCCCATCTTAGGCCACGCACACGTTTCCAAGCCACGGCCTCTGTCCCTCTCTGCTGCAGGAGCAGACGAAGCAGCAGCAAGAGCAGAAGAAGCAGCAGCAGGAGCAGGCGAAGCAGCAGCAAGAGCAGAAGAAGCAGCAGTAACGGGTTGGGGCGTCTCAGAACTAGAGTACGAGGAGGAGGGGGAGGGGGGGGAGGAGGAGGAGGAGGAGGAGGAGGAGGAGGAGGAGGAGGAGGAGGAGGAGGAGGAGGAGGAGGAGGAGGAGGAGGAAGTGGAGGAGGAGGAGGAAGTGGAGGAGAAGGAACGAGCAAGTTCCGTCTGGCCTTGCTGTTCAAACTCCCGCCATCGCCCAACCTCCTTCCCGTGGTCAACCCCAGTCTCCTTCAACCCTCTCCTCCTCCATGCGACCACCTCTCCACTGCTTTTCTCATCCCTCTTCTCCTCCTCCTCGGAAACAACACCGTTCCTCCTGAGCCCCGGCCGATCCTCTCGAAGTTCGGCGCTCCTCTTGCCAGCTTCCCTCTTCTCCTCCTCAGAACCCCTCCCAACCCTCCCAAGCTCCTGCCGCTCATCAGAGAACTTGCTGTTTCCCCAGGGCTCTGCCAGCAGGCTGCGTTGGTCCATGCGGGAAGCCACCACCTGCCGCTCGTCAGAACCCTTCCCACTCCTCCCAAACTCTGCCAGCAGGCTGCGTTGGTCCATGCGGGAGTGGACTTCACTTTTCTTGCCGACATCCCTCTTCACCTCCTCAGAACCCCTCCCACTCCTCCCAAACTCCGCCAGCAGGCTTGTTTGGTCCATGCGGGACGCCACGACCTGCCTGGCCACGTGCATGCCGTACACGTGGTGGCGCTCGCGGTTGATGATGTGGCACAGGTAGGCCGACGGCCACCGCAGCATGAAGCGCGTCGCTTGGGCCCTCGACCAGTGCGCCTGGTGGGAGGAGGAGGGGGAAGGGGGGATTAGCAGATGCACACAGAAGGACGGCAGAACAGAGACGAATGCAGCATGAAGCGCGTTGCTTGGGCTTGCCACCAGTGCGCCTGGTGGGAGGAGGAGGGGGAAGGGGGGATTAGCAGATGCACACAGAAGGACGGCAGAACAGAGACGAATGCAGCATGAAGAGCGTTGCTTGGGCTCGCCACCAGTGCGCCTGGTGGGAGGAGGAGGGAGGCGGGAGGGGGAAGGGAGAGAGAAGTGAGAGAGGTTGGGCAGAGAGACAGGTAGGCCAACGGCCACCGCAGCATGAAGCGCGTCGCCTGCGCCCTCCACCAGTGCGCCTGGTGGGGGTCTAGTTTTGAGGCGCCCCACCACTAGATTGCTTACCATCTTTGATTCCTTGGAGTGCTCGCCCTACGCCCCATCACCTCATTGGGGAGAGGGTGCAGAGGAGAGGGCTGCTGCTCAGGCATGCTCCTTCCCTTCTGCAGCAAAGTCTGCTCACCTTCATCAAGTCCCCCTCAGAGTGCTAGTATATCTCTCTCTCCCATCGACCCACCTTCTTGAATTCCCTGCAGTGCTCACCCATACGCGCTGACTTGTGAGTCGACTCAGAAGTCTGCTCACCTTCTCAAGTCCTAAAGAGTGCTAGTATATCTCTCTCTCCCATCGACCCACCTTCTTGAATTAATTGGAGTGCTCAACCATACGCCTCATCGCCTCGTTGGGCAGAGGGTGCAGAGAAGAGGGCTGCGCAGGTACGCACCTTTCCCATCGATAAACAGAAAGCCCTACTTGCTCACCTTCTTAAATTCATTGGAGTGCTCACCCATGCGCCCCATCACCTCGTTGGGCAAAGGGCTCCTCAGATACGCCTTGCCCCACAGCCTGCATGTGGAGAGCAGCGGAAGGAGGGGGCACGGTGCACCGGGGTAAGGCAAGGACCCCTCTGTGTTGCTCTCCCATACACCCCATGACCTCGTCGGGCAGAGGACTCTTCAGATACGCCTTGCCCCACAGCCTGCAAGACGGAAAGGAGAGGAGCGGAGGAGAAAGCTTCTAAGAAGCTTAACAGACCGTCGCACTTCCACCCAAGGAGTGAGCTCTTCAGATATGCATTGCCCCAGGGGCTGCACAGCGAAAAGGAGAGGAGCGGAGAAACGAGGAGAGGAGAAACGAGGAGAGGAGAACGAGTAAGGGATAGCAGTCGGTTGGCCTGCTGTTTGAAGCAGTGTTTTGATACGTCTCAAAACACTACTTCAAACACGAAGGGATAGCAGTCAGATGGCCTGCTGGTGTAAGTGAAGCGAACACCTCTGCCCACCGAGGTGACTCTTGAGTCGACTCAAAAGTCGCCTGCTGGTGCGAGTGAGCGAGCACGTCTGCTCTGCCCACCGAGGTGCGTGCTTATGATACGCCCCAGCTCCTCGTTTCTGAGAACTCTCAGAAGTGAGTGAGCGTGCTTATATGCGCCAACAGCTCGTTGGGCAGAGGGCTCTTCAGATACGCCTTGCCCCACAGCCTGCAAACGAAGAGAAGGGGACGGAGGAGCGGAGCGACGTGCATTACTGTGGGGGCAAGGACCCCTCAATTGTAAGCTCGCCCATACGCCCCATCACCTCGTTGGGCAGAGGGCTCCTCAGATACGCCTTGCCCCACAGACAGCCTGCACAGCACCACTCACTCTGCTGCCGTGGCATTGAGCTGTGCTATGACCTCCGAGCCTTGATCCACACCAAACCCCGGCAGCGTTGCGAATATCACAAGAGCGTCAGACGCCACACACGCCACATTGTCACACGGCTGCGCTACAATCACATCCTCGTTTGTAACATCCTCGTTCATCACACCCCCCCTGCACTCCTCTCCTCCCCATCATCACCATCCGTGCTATCAGCACCATCAGTTCCAACATGAGCAACGCTTTCTATACTCCTCAAAGATGCATCCTCAGTACCGTCCATTTCAGCGGCCCCAGTGCTATCTGCTGCGCGCAGCAGCCTCCTCTCACTACCCTTTCCAGTTTTCCCTCCTTCCGCTTCCTTCTCCTTCTCTCCCTTCTCCTTCTCTCCCTTCTCCTTCTCTCCCTCCTCCTTCTCTCCCTTCTCCTCTTCCCTCTCTTTTTCTGCCCTCTCTTTTTCTGCCCTCTCTTTTTCTGCCCTCTCTTTTTCTGCCCTCTCCCTTTCTGCCCTCTCTTTTTCTGCCCTCTCTTTTTCTGCCCTCTCCCTTTCTTCCCTCTCTTTTTCTGCCCTCTCTTTTTCTGCCCTCTCCCTTTCTGCCCTCTCTTTTTCTGCCCTCTTCCTTTCTTCCTCGGCAGCAGCCTGTCGCTTCCTCTCCTCAGCAGCCTTCCAGGCCTGATGCGCCTTGAGAGCGATCGCCTCACACTCCTGGGACGAGAATCGGAAGAAGTAGCACTCGAGTGACCCTCGGTGGCCCAGCTCTGAGACAAGGCGAACGGGAGGGGACACAGCACAATAGAAAGCAGATGCAACTTGCAACCCTCGCTCCAAGTATTTCCATGCGCCTTCACAGCGATCGCCTCACACTCCTGGGAGGAGAACCGGAAGAAGTAGCAGTCAAGTGACCCCCGCCCCGGTGACCCAGCTCTGGGAGAAGGCAAGGGGGAAGTGCAACACATGCACACGAATTGCAAAACAAGTCAGAGGATGGGTAGGTAAGTCTGGGAGGTAAAGGGGAAGAAGTAGCACTCCAGCGACTCCCGGTGGCCCAGCTCTGCGAGAAGGAGAACGGAAGGGGACACACTACAATAGAAAGCAGATGTAACTTGCAACCCTCGCTCTAAGTAATTCCATGCGCCTTCACAGCGATCGCCTCACACTCCTTGGATGAGAACCGAAAGAAGTAGCACTCGAGCGACCCGCGGTGACCCAGCTCTGGGAGGGCAGAGGGCAAGAGGAACACACACACGCACGTGCAACACAAGTGCGAGTGTGTGCGTTAAATGCGCCTTGATAGCGGTCTCCTCACACTCTTTGGACGAGAACCGGAAGAAGCAGACTCTTGAGTCGACTAAGAAATCAACTCTTCACAAACTGGATGCGCCTTGAGAGCCATCTCCTCGCAATCTTTTGACGAGAACCGGAAGAAGCAGCACTTGAGTGACCCCCGATGGCCCAGCTCTGAGACAAGGCAACAGAGGAAAAACGTATAGAGGGGAAAAACGCACACTCGCTCACTCACCCACTCACTCACCCACTCACTCACTCTTGCATTCCTCATGGTCTGCTTGGGGCAGAGTGCCGGGCATGAGCACGAGAGTCCTGTTGTGCAGCAAGGCGGCACTCAGCACAGCGCCCATCACGTGCAGCTGCGACCCTATCCCGTGCCACCCCATGCTCAGCCACTCCACCAGCATCACCCGCCGCCCCTTGCACTGCCCGGGCGGGAACTGCTGTCCCCATATGTCAGCTTGTGCTTGCCGGGTGGCTGCCAGGTTGGCAGCATCGGAGCCTCGGATCTGGAGATAGGGGTTGGGGGCAGGGAGAAGGAATGAAATACACTTAATCCTCGTTATATAGCTCGTTAGCAGTGCTGCCAGGTTGGCTGCATCGGAGCCTCGGATCTGCAGGAGGGGTGGTGGTGGGTAGGGTAGGGAAGAGGAGTTTTGTCATTCCTGATATGATCCAGACAGCAATGCACTAGGATTGTAGAACACGGCTAACTTTCTGCACAGCACAGACCAGCACAGCACAGCACAGCACAGCACAGCACAGCACAGCACAGCACAGCACAGCACAGCACAGCACAGCACAGCACAGCACAGCACAGCACCGCACAGCACAGCACAGCACAGACAACTGTGCAGCACAGCACCGCACAGCACAGCACAGCACCGCACAGCACAGCACAGCACAGCACAGCACAGACAACTGTGCAGCATAGCACCGCACAGCACAGCACAGCACCGCACAGCACAGCACAGCACAGCACAGCACAGACAACTGTGCAGCATAGCACCGCACAGCACAGCACAGCACCGCACAGCACAGCACAGCACAGACAACTGTGCAGCACAGCACAGCACCGAGAATAATGTGACAGACAACTGCAGCAGAGCACAGCATCCCACCACACCGCACGGCACTGCACAGAACAGCTCCGCACCACACAGCACCGCGCACGGTGGATGCAACTCTCACCCAGGGAGGTTGGGGCACGCTGCCGCATGCAGGGTTGGGAACAGCCCAGAAGGGCGGCTCCCCCCGCTCCCCCCGTTTCTTTGCGTATAAGCGGACCGCATTCCCCCACCACTGACTGACCGAGGACCCAGCGCTCACCCAGGGGGGTTGGGGCTCACCCAGGGGGGTTGGGGCTCACCCAGGGGGGTTGGGGCTCACCCAGGGGGGTTGGGGCTCACCCAGGGGGGTTGGGGCTCACCCAGGGGGGTTGGGGCTCACCCAGGGGGGTTGGGGCTCACCCAGGGGGGTTGGGGCACGTTGCCGCATGCAGGGTTGGGAACAGCCCAGTAGGGCGGCTCCCCCCGCTCCCCCCATTTCTCCGTGGACAGGCGGAAGGCTGTGCGCGCCTCACAGTCCTCCAGGTGGGGCGCGGGGGGAACGTCCGGGCGAAGCGAGATGGCGGAGGGGGGGAATGTATTCTCCGCCTGGAGCCCATAGGCGCTCTCCCAGTGCTGGTTCGGGGGAGAAGGTTGGGGGGTTGGGGGGGAAAGAGTGGGGAAGTTCGGGGGACAAGCGGCGGGGGATCCGCGGACCAAAGGGGGATCGGCTGAGGAGGGGAACATTGCGGGGGGAAGTGAGATGGCGGAGCGCGAAAGGGGGAGAGGAATCTTTGCCTGCACCCCGTAGGCAGTGTTTTAAGGCTGATGAGGGAGGGATGCTTGGGATGGGATGCTCGGGATGCTTCCTCCTTACCTGAGAAGAATCTGTTAAGACCAAACGTCTTTCGCCTCCGAGAAATTCTTTGACTCGCCGCTTTGAGCCGACTCGGCTCGAAACAGATGCATTTTGAGTCGACTCAAGCACACCTCGATATAGACACACCTGATACAAGGTCCGCATGGCCTCCAAAAACATATCCCCCTCTTTCTCGGAGCGTTGAACTGTCGCCATCACGAGCCATGCCGCCGGGAGCGCAACGGCCACGAGTCGAAGAAGGATCGCAACGGTCGTGCGACGGCGGAGGAATTGGGCGGCGCGGGCCATCATGAGACGGACGGTGGTGATCGTCCTGTGGGCAGTGGCAGTAATTGGACCGTTGCGGACCATGCTATCTGAGGAATCTCAAAAGAAGAGGCGGGCGACGCGGATCATGAGAGGGACTCCCTCTCGGGTTGACTTTTGAGTCTACACAAAAGTCAACTCACGACGCATATCATGAGAGGGAGCCTCCTCGGAGAGTGATGATCGTCCTGTGAGCAGCGATCGGCCCGATCACTGTTTAAAGTAATACGAACTACGGACGGAGGTAGGCGGAAGGCAGCGTCCGACGGGACGACGGACGACGTAGTAGCACCCTGACCAACGATCACTTCGCCGTGAGGCACGGCGCGGCGCGAACCGCCGTCGCACTTACCAGACGGGTTAGCGACAACTTGTGGCCTCTGCTCCCTTTTCTGGAATACAAGAAATCGCTCCTAGAAAGGCTGAGCATCCGCGGAATGACTCTTCCAAACCTGTCTGCCATTCGTCCACGCGACGACGATGCGTCGTAACAAATCACGGTAACCCACGATCCAAAACGCGGGTAATAACTGATTTGCCTAAAGCGAACGTGGAAAAGCCTGATTGCCTGAAGCGAATCTGCTGATGCCAACGTAGTTTGGTCGAATGGGGCTCCCCACGCTACAGCATTCCAAGAAAGTCATCTGACGGAATCCGTCTCTGCTCCGTCGATATGACTGAAAGGTGGTGGTGGTGAATAGCCTGCGATGCGAAACAGCCTAGCACCAGCCGCAGTGCACATGTCACTCGGGAGTTGCGAAACCTTCCAGGCCAATGCGAATTGTGGTGATTCGTTTGTCACAGTCTTTCCTTACAGATCGTCGCATCTAGCAAAAATAAGGGTCTAAACGAGACTTGACGAGGCTGCACGAATTCTGAACGATCAAGTTACCGTCGCTGCCGTACCTCGCGGCGGTTCGCTGCGGTGACACTGAACCAAGACAACCCCAAGGCTGGCGGTTGCCATTCAGCAAATCTGAATCTGACAAACAAAATCCCTCAGGGAAAACCCGCAGGGGCAAAACGGGGTTTCCGGAGGGATGTGACTAAAAGCGTGTTCGAAGTACTGCACCAGCTCGACGTCGAAGTATCTCGGTGAATCGGGGCCGTTGGAACCTTAGATCCGAGGGTTGAAATTCACCGACATCCCTCGACGTCGAGGAATGCAGTACTTTGAACACGCCGAATCTGCCTGACTAATGCTACATCCACTTTCATCCCCGTTATTACTGAAGCTGGAACTATTAATTTTCACTCGACGATATTATATTTACTTATGTAGTGTTTTTTTCTTGATTCCAATTGCTAAAAAGCCAGTGATTGATCAGGGCTTCAAGAACGCAAAATTGACACCATTGACTTTCCTAGATTTCATCAGGAATATTTCCACGCCTTCCACAACATTGTTAGAGGGCCCTACGACAGCAAGGGCCCTCGACGACTTGGCAAGATAACTGCGCTAAGACGGGCATTGAAAGACACCAACGCAAGGAGTGCGCTGATGTCGCACCACTACTGCAGTGCCAACGAAGTCCGTGCTGGGGTGCTGCTAGTCTAGGGAAGTTGTGAGCACGATTCTTGGGAAGCGTGCCACTTCCTAGCAAGTCAGTGGGCGTCATATGTGGTGTTGCCGAGTTGGAGTTGGTGTTGGCTGGGGTGGCGTGTGAAAGGCAATTCCGCTGCTGAGTTGGGTTGAAATTGTACGAGGCGCGTTCAACCTACCTGCACACCACTTTCGTGGGGTTGGGTTACTATGCAGCACCACGCCAACTTTGTGAAACCTTCCTGTAGCCTATATGTAGTTGTGTGTTTGCTTTTGTATTGATACTTGATATTGCAATTCTATTGGCCCAAATGCTACTTCAATCCTCACTAAGTCCTTAGAGGCAAACGCTACCGAAACTCTACCAAGTTGCTGGCACAACATCATTCCCATAGCAGAAACTCTCTCGTTATCGCTACGCTCTCTAATATATTCCTTCATGGTGCGGTGAGCGTGGATGGACACGCATAGATTTCCGTCGTCGTTGATATTCGCGTTCGTATACTCGCCTTGGCGTGCGGCGTTAGTGAAGGGCGCTTATTAATCTAAGTTGAACCTCTCTTGATTTCCCTCCAGTTACGTTCTCGGACCCAAGGATAGGGCGTTTGGTAATTTGTTACCACTCGTCTGAGGACCCTTGTGAGGTGACCCCGAGACGAGGGATTTAAGGAAGGGGCGATTTATTTTAATTTGTGGTACCTTATAGAGACGTCGTAGAGGATGAGTACGGAGGAGGCAAACGTGGAGGCCGGTACTTTGCACGCCCTAGAGGAGGATCTCGTGGCTCGTCATTCTCGTGGTGAGATTAGTGATATCGAGTACGAGCTAATGTTGGAGGGATTGCGCTCGCGTCGGCGTCGTGAGCACCCTTCGCCTCGTGTAGAGAATATCGAACAAGCTTCGGGAGGAACTAGTGCGTGGGATATGGCTGTCGATGGCGGAAATAGCGATGACGAGGAGCTTGACGGGTTGATGTCGCGTGGGGTCCTGCGAGGACCAACTCGGTTTAGTACGGCTAGCGTCGGCGGTGTACAGGAGCGTGTTCATCTTGCAGCAGCTTCACGAGAGCATGCGAATGTAGGACGGCGGAGCGTTTCTGGAGGAGGGAATGCGGAGGAGTACGATAGTGAGGCTATGCCGGGCGTTACCCCGATTGGATCGATGTCGAGGGACGAGGGAATAGCCCCCAACTATGGCTACTTTAAATTCACTCTGTCAGAACATTATAGCTCATGCATATTGTGTAGGCTATAGTGGGGTAGCCCATAAGGGGTACAACCCAATTAGGGTTATTACTTGTACTCAATTCATTCATAGTTGATCCATTCCTCGTTTATTCTCATGGTATCGAGCAGGTTCCCTAGTGGGAACGATTCCTAGGGCCCACCACCACGAAAATTTTTTTTCCTGCCCGGAGCGCGTTTTGCGCCGGCCCGAGTCGCGCCGCCCTTTCGGCCCGTCGCGCCCGTCGCGCCTGTCGCGCCCGTCGCGCCCGTCGCGCCCGTCGCGCCCGTCGCGCCCGTCGCGCCCATCGCCACCTTACGCGGCCCCGCCACCTACCTTCGCGGCCCCGCCACCTACCTCCGCGGCCCCGCCACCTACCTGTGCGGCCCCGCCACCTACCTGCGCGGCCCCGCCACCTACCTGTGCGGCCCCGCCACCTACCTCCGCGGCCCCGCCACCTACCTGTGCGGCCCCGCCACCTACCTTCGCGGCCCCGCCACCTCACTGTGCGGCCCCGCCACCTACCTCCGCGGCCCCGCCACCTACCTGTGCGGCCCCGCCACCTACCTTCGCGGCCCCGCCACCTCACTGTGCAGCCCCGCCACCTACCTCCGCGGCCCCGCCACTTGCCTGAGCGGCCCCGCCATCTACCAGCGGCCCCGCCACCTACATGTGGCCCCGCCACCTACTAGCGGCCCCGCCACCTACCTGCGGCCCCGCCACCTACCTTTGCGGCCCCGCCGCCTCCTCCCAGCGGCCCCGGACGCCGCCCTCTCAGCGGCCCCGCCGAGCCGCCCAGCAGCCAAGCCGCCCAGCCGCCGAGCCGCCCAGCAGCCGAGCCGCCCAGCAGCCGAGCCGCCCAGCAGCCGAGCCGCCCAGCAGCCGAGCCGCCGAGCCGCCCAGCAGCCGAGCCGCCGAGCCGCCCAGCAGCCGAGCCGCCGAGCCGCTCAGCAACCGAGCCGCTGAGCCGCCCTGTCCGCAGCCGAGCCGCCCAGCAGCCGAGCCGCCCCGCCGCCGAGCCGCCCAGCCGCCGAGCCGCCGAGTCGCCGAGCCGCCCTGCAGCCGAGCCGCCCGAACCGCCCTGTCTGGTAAGAGCAGCGCCTCTCTCACAGCACTGCCCTCGCCCTACTGTTTGCACTGCTAGTCTACTGCTGTCATGGCTACCCCTAGTGTCCTCGCTTTTGACGCTGAGGGTCGGGCCATTGACTTTGACGTCTGGATAGATGACCTGCAGCTTTTCTTACAGTGCGACAGAGCAAACGGCCTCTCCCTCTTTGACCTCACTTCTGGTGCCTCTCCTGCCCCCGCTGCTGATGCTGACGCCACTGTTCGCTCACAGTGGGCCACGCGCGATGCTGCTGCACGTCTTGCTGTGCGTCGCCACCTCCCTACCTCTGAGCGTGCGCACTTTAGCCAGTACAAGAGTGCTCAGACCTTGTACGACGCTGTAGTTGCACGCTACTCCTCCCCTGCCACTGCTGCACTGAGCCGCCTCATGCTACCGTACCTCTTCCCTGACCTTGCTGCCTTTCCCACAGTCGCTGACCTCATTACGCACCTCCGCACTAGTGACACTCGCTACCGCGCTGCGCTTCCTGCTGAGTTCTGCGCCAAGACCCCCCCCCCCATGTACATCACCCTCTACTACATAGTCACCCGTCTCCCTGACTCCCTTCGCGTAGTCAGGGACCACTTCCTCTCGGTTTGTCCCACCACTCTCACCGTTGACCTCCTCGAGAAGGCCCTCCTAGCAGCAGAAAAGAGCATAGTCGCTGTAGGAGCCTCTCGTGGTGACCCTCGCACCCCCATCTTTGAGGGGTGTTCCCCCTCCCCTCTTTTGCCCTCTGTTGCCTCTGCTGCTGCGGCCGACCTCGCTGGTTTGGAGTCGGTTGGGGCAGCGTCTACCCCTAGCGGGAGACGCCGCCCTGGCAGGGGCAAGGGGGGCAGGGGCGCTGGAGGAGCTAGCGGGGGCGGTGGAGGCGGCGGTGGAGGCGGTGGAGGAGGTGGGGGTGGCGGTGGGGGTGGTGGCGGGGGTGGAGGTGTAGGTGGCGGCAGTGGAGGCGCAGGCGGCAGCGGCGGTGGCGGAGGGAGCGGAGGTGGCGGCGGTGGAGGAGGAGGCGGCGGAGGAGGTGGAGCTGGTCGGGGTGGCGCTGCGCAGAGGGTCAGCTCCGGTGGTGGTCAGCGCCAGCAGCAGCAGCAGCAGCAGCAGCAGTAGCAGGGCACTCGTGACGTCCCCTCCCCTCAGCAGCTCCGTGAGTGGTACACTGCACGCCAGAGG